CGGTGCGGTGGGTGGGCAGGGCGCGGCGGGGCGGCGGCGGGGCGTGGCGGGGCCATCCCCTCCGATCAGGCGAGATGATCTCCGTTCTGATTCGTTCGATTCCGCCGAAAGTGGCCCCGCTGGCTCACTCCGAGCGGCCCGTCGTCGTTCTGTCGCCCTCGCACCCGTGGGGCCTGCAGGGCCCCGCGCGCGCGGGGCGCGAGAGAGACGACGGCGCGCTGTTCGGAACCGCTGCCGCGGCATGACAGATGACTGGCCGGTATGTGCGCGGCCCGGGGCCGCAGATACGCCATTTTTCTGTGTCGGCGCGCCAATCCGCCCTCCGGGCCTCCACTTCGGGTGTAGGGGATGGGGCGGCAGTGGGCCGCTGTGTCCAGTGGACCGTCCACCCGCCGGCCTTCTCACACCGACAGCGGTCGCTGGAACCTGGAACACTTTTGGGGGTCAGTCGGCCGGTACCGCTCCCTCGGACCGAGAGGGGTGGGCGGAACAAGGTTAGGGTGCCGATTGGGCCGCACATCGACCAGGGCACCCTATTAGGAAACACGACTTTGGAATGCGCCACGGTGAGACAGACTCACGACGCCGCTGGTGGCTCTGCTTGCCGTTCGCACCGCCGCCCCTTGGCAAGGGGCCCTTGCCCGCACCCACCCCGGAATCTGGAATGCGGTCCGGTTATGTGGCCCGGGCGTGCGAGGGGGAGGGGAGGGGACCGTGAAGATACTATATGACGGGTCAAACATGAAAAGGACCACTTCAAAGCGCGCCATGCCTCGGCCATGCCTCAGCCATGCCGCCCGCACCACGCCGGCCATCGCCCAGCAGGCTGCTTCCCAACGGCGCCTCGTTCTCTCCGTCGCTCCGTCTCAGTCGCACTCCTTTCTCGTGCCGTCGATCCATCAGGGTGCGAGAGAGAGAGAGAGAGAGAGAGAGAGAGAGAGAGAGAGAGAGAGAGAGAGAGAGAGAGAGAGAGAGAGAGAGAGAGAGAGAGAGAGAGCGCCTCGAAAGCACTGTTCCAGTGCTGCCAATTGAACGCCCTTTTTGGCCGGTTCTGAGTGTGCGATTAGATAAGCCGGCACTGTGGGGACGCCACAACACGCTTGTGTGTGTGTGTCTGTGTGTGTGTTCTGGCCCTACTTCGGCTGGGCCGGCAGGGTGCAGCGGTCCAATTCAGCGCAAGCGAGGCGTGGTGTCGGCCGCCGTACTGTATGGGACCTTATCAGGCCATGGGGCGGGCTGGGGGGCGGGCTGGGGGGCAGGTCAGGCTGCGGGGGGTGGGTCGGAGTAAACGGAGACTAAACAAAAATGGGCGTTTTGCTCACTCAATTCTCGCGCATTTATTTTTCGGCGGGCGGCGGCGCGGCAGGCTGTTGCCGGTCGACGTCCGTGTTCATGGAGATGATGCCTCGCAACAATGCTCGGCCGGGCGGCGCGCGCCGCGCGTGTGACGTGAAAGGGAATATGAAAGGGAACGCGGACCAGTCACCCCGCGTTAAGCAACTGGTTTATTCAGAACCATTGCGGCAGCGCCGGGCAGCGCGCTGCAAAGTCACCGCCTTTGCCAGCTTGCCGCCGCCTCGGCCGCCGCGCCGCCCGCTCGAACAATCAAGCGCCGCGGATTCCCTTCTTTCTTTTATTCCAAAAAACGACCGCCGTCCTGTCGTTTCGCAGCAGCAGGCGAGCTGCATCGTGCCCACCGATGCGTCCCGATGACTGGCCGCCGGTTGTTTCCCCCCTTTTGTTTCAGAGCGGCGCGTAGCGGCGCCACGGTGGCGCTGCGCTGTTGTGCACTGCTGTGTGGACGGGCGCCGGGCGCGCCGGGCATTCGCTGGCCCCCCACTGCCCTAATGCCACCACACCTCCCCCACTTACGCCCGGCCCAGGGCAGGCCCAGGGACTCTGGTGGGCCAGTTGTCTCCGTTATGGCCGAGGAAGGACGCGTTACAAAGTATGTTTAGAGCAGGCGCGTGCACCCACACCAACAAACAACACTCACGCACACAGAGGCGCGTACTTTACTGGACAGTACTGTGGCGCGCTGTGTGCTGTGTGCGAGTCGGAGTGGGACACTGAGGCGTTGGCTCGCTCCCCTATTTTTCGCGGTCTTCCGCCACCACCCCTTCTCCCCCCCCCCCTCTCTCCCCCCTCCCCCTTTTTGCTCGTCCTTCCGGCCGCTGGGTGCCGCGCTGGACCGGCATCGTCCGCGGCAGCGACTGCACTAGAAACAAAGGACGCCTCTAAAAGGCGCAAGCACAGCAGTCCCCTCCCCCCCTCCAACGCCAGCGCTGTGTTTCTCCAATCGCCTGATAACGGCTTCCTTTTCAATTCTGCCTCCCCATTCTTCATATCAGCGTGGCGGCCCGCTGCCGCCCTCGCTGCCGCCGGCCCGGCCGGAGACTGATTCCGAACAATGCCCCGCGTCTCTCTCGCTCGAAGGGGACTGCGTGGGGCACCGCACATGCGTGCGAGGGAGACAGCGCTGTTCGGCGATGTGGGCTGAGTTATTCGCCGTCCGCTGGCCATACAGCCGCGCGGCCAGGCCCGGCCAGGTTGATGGATAAGTGGCGGGAATTCCAATTGCGAGTGTGGCATGCCTGGGCATGCCTGCCTGCCTGCCTGCCGCGGTCGCCTCCCCAATTGCCACGCTTTCATTGTTGTGCGGCTCGACACGCGCAGCTGCAAAGCGCTGCCGCCACTGCCGCCGCCAAGCCCTGCTTTTTTTGCTGCCCGCCCGGCCCCGCCGCGTGCGCCCTCTTTTTGTAGGTTTTGTATTTCGCCTTTTGTTTTTTTTTTTGTCGCCGCCGTTTTTTGTTGGCGTTTGAATGAGCCCGGCGTGATGTTGACTCGGAAAGCACACTTTAATCCGCAACCCAGTGGGTGGTTGGCGGTGCGGGACTGCGAGGGACCGCGCGGGACCGCAGCCCACATTTGTCAGGCGCAAAGTGAAGCTTCTGCTATCGCCATGCAATTCATTCTGGCGGCGCACTCCTCGGTGAGGGACGGCCGCGACCCCGCCCCGCCCCGCCTCGCCCCGCCTCGCCCCGCCTTTGCCGCCCCGCCCTACCCTAGGCCCAGGTGCAGCCTGGAAATGGCTCCCTGGCGCCGCGCTGCGAATCATTTCCCGTATTGACTCTCGAGTAATTTCTGCGCGGCAGGGCGGCACAGGATGTTTATCTGGAAATATTTGCGCCCCGAGCGGTGGGCGGCTGGTCCGCCGGGGGACGCGGGAAAAAGAGACGCGGGGGACGGCAGAACGAGCGTGTGTCGCTGCGTCGCTGCCCCACATCGCCCTGATTACCCGGACGAGTTACGCGACGGCAATGCGCGCGATGCTGGCGCCCCCTAACTCCAGCGGCAGGTCGGGGAAGTTGAGGTGTATCGGCGGCAGCGCTCCCCCCGGCCTGTCGTCCCCAGGGGTGGGGCCGGACCCAGCCGGACCCAGCCGGACCGGGCTGGGCACACGCCAGGACGAGGGCCCTGGACCAGGCTCCGGACCAGGCCCCGGGTGCGGACATTTGTCAAAGTTTTGTGTCGGCCTTGTCCTCGTCCCTCTGCCGGGTTCGGCCTGCAGCCTCCCCAGCAGCCTTGCCTCCGGCTTTGGCCCGAGGCCGTGCCCGTCCAGGACTGCCCAGTCCGTGTTTGAGCTTCCTTGGCCGGCTCCCCCTCGGCGCCTCGTCCCGGGCTGCCTGGGGCCCGGTCGCCGCGCTTGGGGGGCTCAGCAAAGTTTGGCTGGCTTCCTCCTGTGAGGTCTCTTTCACGCCCTACCTTCGGTCTACCGTTCCGCAGCCTGGCAATAAGCTACGCAGTCAGTGGCCGTCCGGTCAGTGGACGCCGCCCGCGTCCAGACAGACACGCTCACAATCATGCACTCGCCGCCTTCCGACGCTTTCCCACAGAAACCACTCTGCACTTTGTAATGTTGCGAGCCCAGCGAGCGTCGCCAAGCAGAGAAATGGAAGCTGTCGAGTAACGCAACGCTGCCTTATGCTGCGCGAGGCACGGAGCGCGCCTCTTGCCGTAAATTCGCATGAAAGGGACGGACCGAGTCGCCCGCCATTGACTTGACGCCCCTGTTCTTCTGGCAAGAGAAAAGGCGGCCCTGGCCTTCCCCGCCCTGCCCCGGCCTGCCCCAGTGCGCTCACCTAGATTGCTTCAAATGTAAACGCTCATCCCGACCTGCCATGGCGCCATGGTAGTATGGAACACGGATTGACGGCGTCAACAGGTGCTGGCCTTGGACATGATCATTGGGCCCTTGCGTGAATGTGCTTTTCGACATTTGTAATTAGACACTTTTAGGCTGTCCTCTCTAATACGTGTCTTGGTCTTACTCAAGCATGTCTATCTGTAATCTTTATATATTATTATAATTATTATTATATGGTGGTTGAACGTATGTTTCTGTTTTCTTTTTTTCACTTCTATAATTATAATTTGTTTTTACGGACAAACGTAACACCAGGACACTTTGTTCTCGTGGTTTCATGATGTCTCCTAGTTGCTGTAACTACAGCATCCCAAGTCAAAATACTTACCCTTTAAACAATACTACAATTTAAACTCATTCTTTGAGCGCAATCGCCCGTTGGCATTGCCACCTTTAAGCTAAATAATTAACGAGTAGCTTTGCCCGTGAAACCACGCACAGTCTTTACAGTGTATGAATGCGGCCCCACCTTCCTGCTGCCCCTTCACTTGTTTTAAGGACGTCCCAAAAGCGCGTTCCATGCGTCACGAGTGCAGCCAAACATTTCTAGCAGCTTAGCATGTTGTTTTGTTTTATAAAACATTAACTTTTGTGTAACGGTAGAAAAATAACTATGTTCAGGATTTTAAAACAAGTAAATAATGTAATCATACCGAGATTGACTCTGTAAAAGCCCTGCCCTTAAGTTTCACTGGGCACATCGTACAAATGGGACGCACTTGGCTGAATGCACGAATGGCTGGCCAGGCTGTGTTAGCAGTGTGCACGAAAACCAAAACAATATTATTTCCAGTGCGGACGGCAACTTTGAGGTGACCTTAGCCACCAAAGCGACAATCTACCATGAAGGCCTGGTGGAATGGAAGCCCCCTGCCATTTACAAGTCGTCTTGTGAAATAGACGTAGAGTATTTCCCCTTTGACGAACAAACGTGCGTTCTCAAGTTCGGTAGTTGGACGTACGATGGCTTTAAGGTGAGTGGAGTATCTTTAGCGCCTCCCCTGTGCCTGTTAGAGCCTGCCATGCACGCCACGACACTCACATGTATGTCTTGGCGTGCAGCTGGAGCAGGCAATCCAGGACTAACTCATACGCTGTCGAAAATGTCAGAGTGCACGTAAAATTTTCAAATTTTATTTTTATTTTTAAAATTAAATGACACATCTGAAGAGATTCTTGTTTTATTTGAAAAAGAAACCATTCGTTTCCTTTACTAAGCCAGTTTAAAAGATGGGCAATTAAATTGAATTTCTTGATCGGTAAATCAAATGGCATCTGACAGTTTCTACGAGAGATAATATTGTGACCGACACTTGACTGGAGTTACCTCACGGTTTCACACTTACAATGAGTAGCTGTTGTCCCTATTTTGTACCGCTTGACAAGTCGTGTTTGGTGTGGTGACAATCTGTTCTTCGTAGTCTCACGTATTTGCTTGACTAGAGTTGATGCTTGATTACTAAAGGTGTAGGGAGTGGTTAACGCCGTGGCTTCGAGTCTGGTGAAATAAAGCATCCCTGACTATCTGAGCCACGCCTTGCTTGGGTCTGATATCAGAGATTGCGTTTACTTATGGTGTGCCTAGAGAAGTAGTTGTAGAACATGTGCTCCAAGTTTTGGAAAAAGAATCATTGTCCTGCCAGTGATTGGAGATCGTCATGAGGTGTGTTTGTGTATTGTTCTGTTGACAGCGCTGATGGCAACTACGAGGTGACTCTGATGACAAAGGCAACCGTCTACTTCTACGGCTTGGTGGTGTGGCAGCCGCCGGCTGTATACAAATCTTCCTGTGCCATCGATGTCGAGTTCTTTCCCTACGACGTACAGACGTGCGTGTTGAAGTTAGGGAGTTGGACGTATGATGGGTTTAAGGTGATCCTAACCTCGACGATGCTATACTAACTGGCCATGCAAATATTCCCTACCTTTGCACTTTAAGGACCCTGGATGGAATTGCATTATATTAATTACATCAAATGATAAAAGCAGCAGTAATAACAAACGATAACAACCTAATTTCAAATAATCTGCATTGTTTATATTAGACGCAGTTTAATGCAAAAGAAGTTATTTATTGTACATCCACGGTTCTCCTGCATTCTTTTTTATTTCTTGTATAAACGTTCCCACCAAATTTATTTATTATTATTTTTCTTATTTTCTGCCCTGTCTACTTTTCTGTGCCATTATGTTGACACTTTATTTTTAGTTGCGTATGTCGATGTTACGTACGTCAACACAAACATGCCCGTAAATATTACTATTATTTCTTCTATTTATTGCCCGTCCTTTTCTCACTCTTTCCTTGCTATCTCTCACTCTACCTATCTCTCTCTCTACGTTCTTGTTATGGTCTGTTGCGTTTTCTTATTAGCTCCTTTCCTATTCCTTAAACCTAAGTGTAAAATAACTTTATATAACGCGTTCAAATATTGGCGATATCTCATTTATACCGTCTAGTGGGCGCGTCAACATTTAAAAACTTGACAGTAATGCAAAGTCACGCAACACTTGAAGCAATATGGCGGTCCTTTAAAAATGTCTCTACATACAGTTTTATTTTAAAAATATCCCATGATTGACGTTAAAAAACAAAAGATATAAAAGTTGGCAAACAGTGCAGATGGGCAGTCTCGTTGGACTTGCGTGCACTGCCTCTAACTAGCAGACATTTCAATTAAGGTACACGTCACCCGCACACACACACAAAACAACTCATCAATGCGCTGCTAAGTCCCAACAAAATTAAGCAAGGACATCGTGTTTTCTTAGTAAGCTTATAGGGAAAAGGTATAAACTTCTCATAGGTTGGATAATTTTCTTAACTTAAATTCGCAAAATTTGTGTAATTTTTCTCATTGGTAAGAGTTAAATACAATCTTTTCCGCTATGAGGGTCATTTGGAGATGCATTCCAACAGCAAAGCAGTATATTAGATAGGTGTCAAGTTTCGCATGGTGTAACTAAAACAGGCAATGTCAGAGCATGTTCTAGTTTCGTACATGCATCGTGAACTTGCACTGTTCTAACTTAGAAAGGGAACTCTTGCAGCGTGGTTTGTACGGTAGGTGGCGAATCACTGGGCACGTAGCAGCACTGACGATGAGACCAGTAAAGTATATCCGTATTGTAGAAATACACAGAGAATTTTGCAAACGCGTCTGACAGTTAAATGAAAAAGTTATGGTTGTGCATGGCGTGAACAAACAAACGCTTGACTGGCTTGCCTAACGCAAAAAAACATCCCTCTGCAGGCCATTAAACAGTAAAAGGTAGAAATTTTGAAGGAAGCATACATGAATGTAAATTCCACTTATTTAGTCCGAATCGCATTTTTCGTTTACGCAACTAAATTACCGAAACATGACAAACTCCTACTAAAACTATGCAAGAACTATTTTGAACCAAAATAATGTTCCCAAAGTGCTATAAGCATTTTTATTTAACAAGCTCCAATCGAGCAATGAATCGCTACAAAATGTCAATATAGGCATAGTGGACCTAAGAACTCTCATTCCTCTGCCAATCCTTTCTTTCTGTCTCTTGTTCTTTTGCCTTACCTGTCCAATACTTGTAGGTTTACAAAGTTTTTTGAATGAAAACTACATTTTTGGAAGAACAAATTTTTTGTTGAATAGAGATTTTTATACCTTTTCCCAAAGTAAGTGATATCCGCAAAGTGGTATCCATACACGTGCGGTAAAACGCCAAACATGATTGTATGACACACTTCATTCAGCGCATGGCCTACATGATTTCTTAAACTAATCCATTTTAATTAAATCTGTCATATAAATATAAGGACGAGTGATGCAGTAAGTTTTCAGTCTAATCTTTTATTGTTATACTCAAAATGTGTGGTATCATACAGGTCTCACTACAATTCTGACGTTGGACGATCTAGCCCGTTAATATACAACTGCTGAGCCCACGGTACTTCAGCGTGAGGCAAGGAACGTGATCGTTTGAATGATACCACAAACTTTTGTAATAGAGAGGCGTCACCCTCAGCTTGACCCAGGTCAAATCTGAACAAAGTAAACGCTAGGATGGACAACAGTTTTGTAAAATACGAAAGACATACTGCATATAAATGAGTGTCAACTAAAAAAGTTTATAAAATGTGTCAAATTTTAACTAACGCATTTGAGATATTATTCATTTCAAAAACTTCTTTTTATGTTTTTTCTTGACAAAACAAAACCAGCATATATCACGAAAGGAAACGAGTAAATACATGTTGGCATAGTACTCCGTCGACGCTGCCTTTACCCGACTTTTAATTCCTTAACACAACACATATGCGAATTTAAGACTTCACGCTTACCCCTTAAATTACATGGTAGAGAGAGACCCCCTTCCACCCCAAAGACGCGACGGGGACCCGCTGTTTCTTGCATATGTGTTATGTGTTCTCGTATGCATCTTTATTTTGATTTTGAAACGAGTAGATTTTCGCATGAATCGCTGCTTTTGTAGTGTTTTATCCGTTTTGTGTGTTGCAAAATTTTTGAAAGTAGTTCTTAGTAAGTAAGTTTTTATGTTTTGAAAGAACACATCAGTATTCTTTAAAAAAGAATACACAATAACAAATTTTTTGAAATTAGTATATTTTTACATATAAGATAATCACTAAGAGTGATTTTTTTTCGTGGCCATTTTTTTCGGCCATGCAGTAGCGCACATCTTAACCATAAACTTTGCACTTTTGATGTTGCCAGAAATATTTTGGATGTTTAGATCCTTGAACCTATGTGCATTTTGTACCGGTATACCAATATATCTTTTTTGTGGAAAAGTATTTTTCACAATCTGGCTCGTATTGATTTTTGGAACCAGATTTGGATTAATTTTGTATTTTTGTTTTGTTTGACGTAAAATGAACTATTTCAACAATATTTTCTGCCAATTTCTACTAATAGAAAAGTCTTATTTTTATATGCCTTACCTGCCAGCCACTCCCATCCACGGGTCCGTCCCAATCCGAAAGTGATAGGAGCCGCGCTGGAAAGGACAAGCCGTGGACCTTTACTGTCTAAAAGTGGCTAAAGCAATCGCTTTCCACGCCACTAGAAATAGTTCGTTTTACCCTGACTAAACCTGGTGCTTCTCCACATGAGCAACCTCTGTCGGTGTATTTCTGTTGCAGCTCATCCAATATCAAAAATGTCAACCGTGTTGATTCGTTTACTTTCTTTGCAATACCATATCCACTTTTCTCACAGTTCGCACTGCGCACTTGTTAGAAGCCCTTTTGTGACAAATGCTGGCGCTTCACCACGGGTACATGTCATTTTTTTCTCCTCCGCGAACTTGTGGACACCTTTACATTTTAATGTTGCTTACGGGCCTTTCTTAAAACAGGTTCCCAAAACAGTTATACTCGGTAAATTTCAAACCATTTCGCTTGGGTGTTTATTTTTTGAAGTCCATTTCGCAAGGCAAAACAACTGAACAGCACCCACCATAGGATTGTCATACACACATTAGTCCATCCTCATCAAAGCAATTGTTTATCTCTTGACACATGTTTTGATCCTTATTTGAATGCTTCTGTAGATAATATGTCACCGTACTATTAATTGCCCACCTCATTCCTTAAGTTACATAATTAACTTTAGAATACCTGAACCAATATAGAAAATCGTTAGCCCTGGTTCAACAAAACTTGACAGTGATAGTTTTGTAAACCAAGCCAAACTTGAAAAATATATCAAATGTAAGATCAATGTCAGAAAAAATGATTGGACCAGTATCTGACTTACTGACTCACTCAAATGGTTGGGCTTAGCACAGCGTTTTATTTAACAAGTTTATCAAAACACAAATGTTAAGTCATGAATAGAATGTTAATGCTGAGATTATTTCAAAAAAATACTAAATTCAGCAATAACAAATTTTGAATATGCATCACTCTAGCCGCACCCACCAGAAATATTAGTGCAGAGGGTTATTGAGGACACATGTGGTACATGACTCAATTACTGTTGTTGATCATATCGTTACTTAAAATGAAGAAAACTCGCGGCTCACCACAACACCTTAACAAATAACATTTACCCTAGCAATATTGGAAACAATTTTCGAATGTCATATGAAATGATAGCGCACACAATGTGTTACTGCTGAAAAGTCCCTACTACATCCCCTGACGCAACTTTTATTACGGTTCTCTAATTTTATTCTTTTTTAATTTTTTTCAAGAACCACTTCTGCCCTTTTACATCCTGGCCACTTAAGCAGGTCTCTTGAGGTCGTTCTTGGATGGCTCACCACGTACGTCTTACATCTATATTAAAGACTTATTTTTCTTTGGCACAACAGCTTGAATAGCCCACTTTTGTGCTCAGGATCAATCGGATGACGGTCTAAAATTTTTAAGTACTTAAGATTGTTTTGCATTTCAGCCCTTCAAGACCTCATCGAATGCGTACACCCTGGACCGAATACTTTTTGACTGCACTGCTGTTTTTTCTGAAGATCCAACTGCAACGAAGTCTAGACAGTATTGGATAATACATCCAAATCATACATCTCCTACAATTTTTTTCTTCAAAAATGGGTGATTTTTTTATGCCAAAAGCAAGTTTACAGCAAATACAGCGCTACTTGAAAATTTGGCAGCCACAGTTGTTTTTATCAGCAGAGAGGTCCGCAGCCATCTTTCAGCCAATTTTATTTAGATACTTTTCTTTAGGTGCAGTTTTCGAGTTAAAAATCGTCGTAATGTTTCTGAGGTGTAGTCATAAGGCTTTAAAACGTGAAAGTAATTCAAATGTAATAATTCCATAACATTATGTGATTCTTTAGCAAGCGTTCTTTAGCAGGATGCGTGCGGAGTGGAACGACTTATTTTACATTACTTAACAAGGTCGCAGCCAAGACCATCAAAATCTTCTCGCCAATAAAATGGCTCGCCAATACAAATGTTTTATTTCTATGGGCTGCTACAAACTGGCACGAAGAAATGGTTGAATGGATGGGTTTAAATGAACAAAAAGGTGGAAGTTATTAACACTAACGTAGCTATCTGAAGCACTTGCCATTTTCAAATGTTCTTTTACATAAGGGTTAAAAGAGGAGTACCATTCACCCATTCGTTTGGGACAAACACATGGCTCTTTTACGGCTGCTGAATGCTGTGCTTTGTAGTTAATAGGTATATGCACAGTTTCCTTGCACCATTTTTGATCACATAGATTTTCTCGTAAAGTGGATGTTTTATGCAAACTTCCAATTGAATTTTTTGATCACAGTTTTTCAATGTGCGCTCGGAAACTGTTTTGTATTTTGTAGAAAACTACTGTTTGGGAAAAACGTCACGCTAGGTTTCTGCGTCATCGTGCTGGATTTTGTTTTTGTTTTTGAAAAATCCGTTTCAATGCGCGGTGGCCAAATCTTTTATTCCACTACTTCATTTTTTTTTTAAATCAGTTATTGATAAATATTAATGTTTTAAAGTATACAACTGCTCTTGATTGCAGATTATCGTCCATTTCAATAAATTTTCATCGCCTTTTGGGCGTTTTATCCCAGACGAGGTTGCTTTATGTAGACAAGAGCCGCGTGTTGCCCAAGCGTGCAACAGTTTGAGGTGAACAGCCACACTGTGCATGTCCTCTCACGGATTGCTCTAACCTGTTTTTGGTGGTGTCGCAGGTTGACCTCAGGCACATGGATGAGAAGACTGGCTCAAATATTGTCGATGTTGGTGTCGACCTGTCTGAGTTTTATATGTCGGTAGAGTGGGACATACTGGAAGTCCCAGCTGTCAGGTAAAGCTGTTTCCCATTTAAAACAAAATCGGTATAGCTCTGTGACGGAAGATGTTTTCAAACTTTTGTTCTTTGACAGGAATGAAAAATTTTACACCTGTTGTGATGAACCTTACTTAGATATAACTTTCAACATTACAATGAGAAGGAAGACATTATTTTACACAGTTAACATTATCATTCCCTGCATGGGCATATCTTTTCTAACAGTGCTGACTTTTTACCTGCCCTCGGACAGTGGAGAAAAGGTGAGTGCGTGACAATGGAGAACAACGCAGAGTGAGACGTTGGTATGAGCTGCTTGTATTTAGTGATTTCCGAAAAAAAAAAGTTGCGTCTTGTGGTATTTTTCTTAACCGGACGCAAGTTGTGATAGAGTTTCCTTCAACCGGCCAAGATTGGCCCAGGGTCCAGGCAAAGCTTTCGCTCCGATCACCCTGGATGGGGAGGGGTGGTGACAAAGTCGGCCAAGGTTCGTTTCGTTGACACACTGGCCGTTGTTACACAGTGCGGTCCAGAGCGCTGTCCCCAGCAGCCCACCGCTGTTGCTGGCCACTCGGCGCAGAAACGGATCTTGAGGAAATTATTGCAATTTCCGGTTTCGGCAATTGACCGGAATCCAATAGGGCTGCCGCGCCCCAGTTAACTCGGAACCGGAAAAACTGTTCGGAAGGACACGGATAGGTTAAGCGGGGCACGCAACTTTGATTAATTAGTATTTCAAACAGAATAACCACTTTGTTTTTCTTTACAGGTAACACTGTCGATCTCAATCCTTATCTCACTCCACGTGTTTTTTCTCCTGGTTGTCGAGATTATTCCCCCCACGTCCCTAGTAGTGCCACTACTAGGGAAGTATCTCATTTTTGCTATGATCTTAGTATCTATAAGGTGAGTCTTCGCGTTTTCTTCCTCCTCTTTAAGGTTTTTCTTTCTATCTAACTACTTTTTGTTTCACAGTATATGTGTGACTGTGGTGGTACTCAACGTACATTTCCGGTCTCCACAAACGCACAAAATGGCGCCGTGGGTCAAAAGGGTCTTCATTCACATACTGCCCAGGCTGCTGGTGATGCGCAGGCCGCAATACCAGTTCGAGGCAAACCGGTGGTAAGATCGGCTCCCTCTTTCACCCGTCATCTGAGCTGCAGTGTGTGTTTGACAAAGTATCTGGTGCAGGTTCACGCCGGCCACGGTGATGCTGCGGTCGCTGCAGGACGACGACTCCTGCTACGGCCCGTTCCAGACGGCGCCCTGCCCCGACGAGATGCAGCGGCTGCCGCCCACCAACAAGCGCGCCACCGTTCTGGCCGGGCTGGAGGGGCACGAGTCCTCGTCGGACACCTCGCATCCGAGGACGCCGTCCAAGGAGGACCTGTCGCCACTGAGGTCAGTGGGAGGAAACTCTTCTTTTATCAGTGGCCGCGGGCGGTCGTTTGTTTGTTCCTTATTTCAGTGGGCAGATGGCGCGCGTCGCGGCATGAATATTCACGTCTTCTTGCCGCCGCTTGCCGCCACGCGACGCGTCTTTCCGCGGGAGAATTCCCACGGATCTCTTTAGGGAACTGAGGCGTGGCGCCGCAGTCGATATCTCATGCATTTGGAGAGAGGGCGAGGGAGGGATTTGGGAAGAGGGTCAGCCTGTGCGTGACGGTCGTGGTCCAGGCCGTAGCCGCGGTCCACATGGCAAGCAGCGCCGGAAATAACAACATGTCCGCGCACAAGGGGGAGCTAAATTGTTGGCGGGGAAAGTTTGCAAGGCGTGGCGCCGCAGTGATGCCGCCCGTCCCCGCCGAGGCTCGCCACTCGACGTGGGGCAGGGCGACAGGGCGGCAGCGCGGCAGACCGGGGTAGCCGTCAACAGACAAGTTGGCCAACTTTCGCCAATACTTGGAGAGCAAATGAGGTCCATGGCGTGGCGCGGTGCGCGGTGCCCTCGGCGGTGCCTGAACTGTGTGTGTTGCAGCCTGCTGGACGGCGGGCCGTTCGGGGGTTCGTGCCTGATCCACGGGCCGGGCGCCATCCGGGACCCACCCGACGAGGAGATGCGGGAGGTGCTGTCGGACCGCGAGGACGCCGCGGGCTGCTGTTCCACCGTGCGGAGCTGCGGGGGCGGCGGCAGCAACCGGCCGTCGTCGCCCGCCGTGGCGCAGCAGGCCCCCGGGCCCCTGCTCGTGCCCGTGCCGCACCGCTTCTCGCACGCCCACTGCCCGCCGCAGGTGCACCGGTCCTGCTTCTGCGTGCGCTTCATCGCCGAGCACACCAAGATGCTGGAGGACTCGACCAAGGTAAGGCCCTCTTTTGATTCGTACTCTGTATGTGTGTACGTGGATGTGAATTGAATCAGGCGGCAGAGCGTCTATTTGACATCCGGAGCAGTTAAATGGGGCAAAATGCGCCGACGCAAATGTCACTCTTCTCGAACGTCCGGAGTGGAGCGCCTCGGGACAAACACTCGAGCGATGGAAATCTCGGCGCCAAGTTTTCCCGGAAGCCACTGCCGCACTGGCGGCGACCGCGACTCCGCGACTCCACTGCGCAGCAGGCAATTAAACGGCGTGGCGACGCGCCGCCGCCCCGGTCGGCCCTTGTGGGCTCTTCTGGGCAAGTCGCAGAGCTCGCGCGTCCGATGGGTTGCCTATCTCCGCGGCGCTGCTGCGAGACAAAGCGCGTCGAATCTCCTCGCCTTTCGGCCCTTCGGCCTTTCAGCGCGGTGCCTCTCCTCTCTCCCCCGGAGGGGGCCCACTTAAGAGCCCCCTCCCCCTCCTCCTCCGCAGAGCGTGCCTTGGGCGTGCCCCGCAAACGCGATGCTTTTGTCCTACAAATTTCCATTTGACTTTGGCCTGCTCCCCTCGCGGATGCGTCTGCCTCTCGGCGCGCCCCGCTCAGCCCCGCTCAGCCCCGCTCAGTGCCTCTCCGTGACTGTGAGCCTCGCAGCCTCGCGGCCTGGTGGTGGGGCGGGCGCCCCCGAACCCGTACCCCCATTCACGCCAACGACACAACAATCTCAGTCAGCTGCTGCGATCGTATCAACGAAAATCGCCAGCGGGCTTTCACTGCTATGCGGCCATGCGGCGACTGCTGCGACCCTACCAAAGCGCCTTTGTGCTGTTACAGGTGAAGGAGGACTGGAAGTACGTGGCCATGGTGCTGGACCGACTGTTCCTGTGGATCTTCACGCTGGCGGTGCTGGTGGGCACGGCGGGCATCATCCTGCAGGCGCCGACCCTGTACGACGACCGCATCCCCATCGACAAGCGCTTCGCCGACGTGGTGCGGAACGCGACGCCCGTGCGCTGCCCGCCGCCCAACTAACTGTTGTTGTTGAACTTGTTCTTGTTAAGTGTGTGTGTTGCCATGCGACGGGGGCGGGGCACGCTCTTCCAAAGTGACGCCGTGGCTGGCGTGCCAATTTCCCCCGCATTTCCCCTACTTTCCCCGCGGCCGGGGCGCGGCGCAGAGCGCATTGCTCAAAGTCTCAGGTGGGGCCCGGCCCGCCCTCTGTACATACGGGGGCCCCGCGTGAGACCCTCCATTCTGCGCGGCGTCCCCCCTCCTCCCTCTCCGCCCCGCGCCCCCACGCGCCAATAGTTTCGCCCGCTAGGCCTTAAGGAGACTCCATGAATTGAAATGAACGCCGGCAGCCAAATGCACTAGACTGGCAGGCCGCGGGAGAGGAGAATGGATTTTGCCTGAAAACGTTCGCCGTTCGTTCTCATAACGCCTTGTATTCAAATGCGGCGCGGCGGCGCTGCGGCAGGGGGAGATTTGCCTCCCCATGGCGGGGCACGGGGTTGCCTGCTCAATGTGTGTCTAACGAGTAGACTCCCGGGTAAATCGATCATCTCGAATCCAGAGTCCGCTGCTGGCTGCCGGCGCCGAGAAGCACAGCGGCCACGTTGTAGGACTACAAGCATTGAGGCCGCGCTAGCTAAGGCAGCAACCAGTCTTTTCACAAGCTTTCGTTGATCGGTCTCCAAAATGCTCAGTTTTGTCTTGGTCCAGTCTGCATACTCGCGAGCACACCTCAAAGGTGAAACAATTAGTACTTTGTTTTGAGCACTGCCAAAGTTTGCCACGAGGCAGGCTCGTTGTTTGCGCTCTCAAAACCCAGGCACCGCCACTTAGTTGGCTTTAGGGTCCCCTCGGCCCGGCGAAGGCGGGCAAAGGCGGCGCTGATTTTCGGCCCAATAGCAGTAGAAGGCGCGAAGGCAAAGTTTGAGAGCAGCCGTAGGGAACTTCTCGCAAGGCGACTGCTGAATATGCAACGAGCTCCTTTCAACATATTGCATGAAATGTGCAGGCCCGAGTTGCCGCAAGTGTGAATTTCGCCCCATGGCTGCGTACAGTAAAGTCTCAATGCATCGTGGTGCAATTTCCCTAGCTCAATACATTTATTTGTACCATAAACATTTTTTCAAACGCCCCGTTTTGTACTGTGTATATATTAAATTGAAACGGCATATAAGTGTTAATGTGTTAGTTGTTAATTTTATTTTTGTAGTGGCAAGCTTCATGTAGGGTTACTTTCTGGGGTTTAAACGGTGCGGTTTAATATTTGTTATTGTTGTTTGTATTAAATTACCACTTCTAAATTACGCAATCTCTAAACCATCACTGCCGACAGGGAGTGCTGTTACTCCTCCTGGTGGACTAAGCTCATGCAGTTGATTCCCGCGACAGACAGGACTACGACACGTCCCGAGAGCGTCCGCAGGGACTTGATTAAATGGGACCAAATAAACGTCAAGCTGGACGCCATCAACACGTAAATTAAACGCAAAACTTGGCCTCCTCGCGGCGCGCCTCACGGCGAGCCCCACCCCCCCGGCCGCCCGAGGTGGCCAGTGTCTAAACTTTGCCCACCAAACCCTGACTACCCCGTTCGAATCAGTATTCGAATCGAAGCGATGCCACTGTCGGGTCATACCAATGGCTGACTGTTCTTGTTTTGTTGATCGTTAGCCCCAGTCGGATGGTGCCGCACGTCCCACGGACCGACTAAGCGTCATATTCTACATGCAGCACCCAACGCGCTTCCCGGCCTCTGGCTGGCCTCTGGCCCCGGCTGGCCCCGGCTAGCCCCGGCCTCTCGGGAAGCGCGGCTGCGCCACGTAGGGTAGTAAACATAGACTAGAAAAACTATTCGACAATGTCAGCCAGTCCCATTCGCATCTCTGTGCTCGCTGTCTCTCTTCCTTTTCTTGGGGCCTAAGTGTTAAGCTTTACAAGTGATCGCTCAATTTTTTTAACGCCTGTTATCCCTGCTTTCCTGCTTTGAACTCTCTCTATCCTTCTCGCTTTGGGCATCGTGCTGTCGTGCTTTCCGTTTCAATGTGGTTAGTTGTGCCGAAATTTCACGGAGATTTTGTTTGCATTGGACTAGAATTTCATCGGATGTAGACGAATCGGACGCACTCGTGTGTGACTGCTTCGCTTGGTTTGTAAAATAATGCGTGTACATAGTAAACTAAACATGTAAAAGTCAATGTTGAAAATAAATGTTCTAATAGGTCTAGAACTACTAGCAATCCTTAGAATGTTAAAAAAAACATACTAACTAATCTTACCTAAAATAACCAAGTGTTAGCTCTGGAAATGTTACCACATTTTTTTGTTTTTGTTTTGTTTTTAAATGTAGAAATTAAGCTGCAGGAAAACAAATCTGTGCCTTTAAATTGGTTTCTGATATGGACCACGACTTAAGCTCTTTATCTGTCTCTCTCCCTCTTTCTCTCTTTTTTAAAATTTATTTTCAAGATGGACCTTTTCTTTGTGTTTACGCGCAGAACGAACTGAAACTTGTGCCGAACGATTACAAACCGGCTGCATTCGGCAAGTGTCATATATTTTTGCATAATGTGCTGTACTATACGAATCTTTCAATGGCTCTGTCTCCAACTTGTCCTGTTCTTCCCCGGACCATGATCGACAAAATCCCTTCATAAAACTTCATACATCACTCTCTCTCCTTCTTTCTTGAACCATTTCCAGAAAGGGTATCGAAAAGAGAATTTCGTTGCCATGTGATAACTGATGCTTTTATTGTATGATTCTTTAAGGTGCGTTTGTGAGGGGTGAACTGAAATGGTAAACTCGATGTGTACCACTGGACGCATACCGTTGGGACAAGGTTTTGAGTCCAATGATAATTTATTGTACTGTAAACAAAAGGATTTTTAAGTGGCAGCAATACTGATAAATGCTCCTCAGTCGTGAGGTAACATGACCATTTACAAAGAAATTGTTAATTCTTCCGTAATTATATGATTTGGTACGCTTGAGCGTGGTTAAGGCATGTCGACACACGTGTCATCGAAGCTGTACTTTAGAATAGGAAATGTTCGCAGTGTTTCGTGCTAACATTGTTGGTAATGTAGTAAAGCCGTCCCCATATTTTGTAAAAAAAAAAAGAAAAAGAAACGAAAGACACGAAGAAAGAGTAATTATAAACTTATCTCTAACTTAACATATGAATTGACATTGCGAAGATCGCAAAAAGAATTGTTAACGAATATATAAATTATGTTGATTGGAAATCAATTCCATAGAGTTATATCGTATTTGTTGTTACTATATGTGTTCCTGAATCTTAGGCTCAAGGCCTCGATAAACTCTGAGGGAATCACCATACTCTAATTTAAATAAATAACTTAAACTCTAAAAATATCCGGTACGATGAAGCAAACTCTTAAATGTAAAGGGCGCTATAGAATTGGACGCATTCTTTCCTCTCGATTTGGTTCGACCTCCATAGCATTTTCTGAACGCACAATGAAGCGCAGTGCAGTCGATCTCTCGATCTTTGTTTGTACATCCGGGTGGCGAGCACCGCGCACCCAAGATCTGTTCCCATTTTATTTTCCTACCTGTACATACTCTCACCTGATTTCAACCGCCACTGGTGCAGCCCAGGTCTATATGATTTGTAAAATTGGAAAAATAAACCGTCGTATGATGACATAGGACCCGGCGATCATTACTCCCCCTACACGCTCTTCACCATTTCTTTCACAAAGGAGCACGGTGGCTGGCGGCGCAGTTAAATGGACGGATACAAAAGACGTCATTTATTCCTTGACTTTAGCTGAAGAGGTACGGGGTGCGCAGGGCGTTGAGCATCCAGTCCCTGACGGCGGGGAGGTTCTTTTGGCGCCACTCTACGCCCGTGCGCAGGTCCTCGGCACTGTTGTCGATGCTCCACGACGCCACGCTCAGGGTGTCGTTGTACTTGGCGCGGAACGAGTCCAGCTGCGGAAAAAAAAACACAGACCGGTCGTCAGTCACGCAGAGCGCTATACTCGTGCCGCGAAGGGAGGGTCGTCGTCTTACGTCCTGGAGGTCGGCGTCGGACGAGAGCGACAGCGTAGCCGCGGTGAGCACCGTGCTGCTGACCATGGAGCTGCCCCCGAACCTGCAGACAGGTGGGCACAGCGATGACGCCACGAGACACGAAGTGCGTTCAACCACTCGCCAGCGCGGCGACTTCCAGGCTTACTTGTCGTGGATGCGAGGCCAGTTCTCGCGGAGGTAGGGGAAGACGACCAGCCTGGCGACCGGCATGGTGGCGGCGGCCATCCACACCACGCCCACGTCCTGCTGCCTGATGTCCGTGTCGTCCAGGGCGCGCGCCAGCAGGCTGCGGTTCACGGGGCCAGAGGGTCAGACTTGTCAGACAGCGCACAGAGGGCGGCTAGTCCGCGGACGACACTACTCACAACGTGGCCCTGGCCGGGTCGCTGGTGCAGGCCAGCGCGCCGAGGATGGTGTTGGCGTTGCTGATGCTGTCCGAGCCCGGCCCCGCCTTGGCCGCCAGGTACCGCTCCCACATGAAGTCCCACACGTCCGAGGAGCCGGCCGCCACGGCGGAGCAGTAGGCCGCGGACCGCAGCATGACGGGCACCCTGCGAACCCGGGGCCCCGACACGTCAACGGTCTTCTAGTCCACTGTGCGCGCCGTGCGCCGCAAGAACATCGCTGCCACTCACGTGCTGTTGGCGTCGTCGCTCTGCAGCCGCCAGAGGTGCACGGCGCGGCGCGCCCAGTCTTCGCACTTGTCGACGTGCACGTCGCACGCCCGGCCGATGAGCGAGGCGCGGTGCAGCAGGGCCACGTGGCTCGCGTCGTCCCTGTCGTCTCGCGTGTTCGTGGAGGGCTGCGCCACCGTGGACGGGTCGGACGGGGCCACGCGGTCCCACATGGGGGACAGCAGCCTCTGCATGTAGCGCTGGAGCACACAAACCCTTGTTTCGGGGACCGCCTTTCGTTGTTGTTTGTTTTTTTTTTCTGCCGCGGTGTCGCCAGAGTGGTTCGTGCGTCTGCGCGGCACATGTGGCGAGTTCCTGAGGCCCTCGGCGTGCCCGCCACCGCCGTGCTCGGCCAGGAGTGTCTCGACCCTCTTCAATTGGAAAATGAAGCTCCCATTAGGCGTCGCGCCCGGCCGCCGTCCCGGCCGCGTCACCGCGGCTGGCTTCGGGTAGTGGATTATGCAGTCCACGAGGGCGGAGGGGTATTGGACGTCCATCCCGGCTCATTTGCCAGTCGTCGCTTCCGTCGCCGGATCATTGCCGTCGGAGTTTTGCCAAGTGCTAGTTCGGCACGTTTCCCCGGGGAACTGCCGCCCCGCCTGTCCGCCCCGCCCGTCCGCCCCACCCCGCCACTTGCGGATCCCCATCAGCAGCTACTGACGTCCGCGGGGACGGGGCGCGGATGGCAGCGCTCGGCTCGGCAGAGCGCGGAGCGTCGCGAAGAGAAGAGGCGAGGCGTGGCAAGGTCGATTCAATCAGCGGCCCGCTGCACGACACGCCGCGTCGCCGCACGTCGGTGCGTCGCCGTTTCCGTTTCCGCTCACCTCAAACACGACCTTCTCGGGGTGGCCGGTGAGCTGCTCGCCGATGACGCCCAGGGCGGACAGCGCGGCGGCCCAGGGCTGCGGGTCGCGCTCGCGCGAGGGCAGGTAGGCGGTGAGGTTGAGGGCCACGCCGTAGGGCAGCAGCCCGGCGAAGGCCAGCGCGAACGCGTCGCCCAACAGCTGGGCGCGCACGGCCGCCGGCAGCACGTCCGGGTCGGCGCGGAGCTGCGCCGTCAGCAGCCTCCAGTTGTCCAGGTCGTAGTTGACGCGGAAGTAGCCTGCGAGCACCCGGCGGTACGGTACGCTTAGCGCCTGCTGGTTAGGCTGGCCCGCCGAACACCCGAGCGCCTGCAGCGTGGGCCAGCCCGCCGCGCTCGCGTGTTCGGCGGGCCAGCATACCCAGCATTACCATTACCATTAAGGGCTAGACCACACATGATCGTATGCCAGGCGCTAAGCTCGGCGGGCTGGCCCACGCTGCAGGGGCTCTCTCACCCGTCTGCTGCATGTTGACCAGCAGCCAGTCCGAGGCGTTGCCGGCGTCGTCCAGCTCCAGGGTCCGGTCGAGCAGCCAGGCGCGCGGCCGCGTGTCGTTGAGCACGGCGGCGTCCCTGGCGGCCTCGGCGCGCGTGGCCATGCTCAGGGGGATGCACCACAGCTCGGGGCCGGAGAAGGGCCGCGAGTCGCTGCGCTCCCACGCGCGGCCCAGGAACCGCTCCTGGAGGACAAGAAGTAGTGCTCGTGTAGCGCAGCACTGCGACGCCCGACCACGCCGTGGCTCGGCACTGTACCTGCGTGAAGACGAGCTTGCCGCCGGCCCTGGTGACGTTGACCACGGGGTAGCCGGTGGTCTTGGTCCAGGCCGACATGACCTGCGCCACGGAGAGGTTGGCGGGGAGGCGCTGGTGCCAGGGCGCGGTGGCGCTGGCGGCCGCGTGCGTCACGGCCTCCGTCAGCGGCTCCCACAGGCGCGACTCCGTGGTGCTGTTGTGCTGCCTGGGGACACAAGCCACTTCCTGTGTTGGCGGCAATGGCGGCAATGGCGGCGCAGCTGGGGATGACGCGCGGCGTGGCCTGGGCGTGGCGCGGCACGGCGCGGCGCGGCAAAGCATGTACGCACCATCGTTTCATGTAGTCGGCGACGCCCCGCCGGAACACGGCGTCCCCCAGGCTGTGCCGCAGCATGCGGATGATGCAGGCACCTGGAGGCACAGCATCGCGGCCGTCGTGGCATCAGCGACCCCCGTTTTGTTTTCGTGCTTGAACCAGCTTGAACCCCCTCGCCGCGCCCCAACCCACCTTTTTCGTAGGCGATGGTGTCGAAGGCCTGCATGATCTCGTGCTTGGAGCGCAGCCTGGCGGCGATGGCGCGCGTCGTCATGGACGAGTCGGCCAGCATGGCGGACTGCAGGGTCGACGTCTGGAAGCGCTCCTCCATGTGCCAGGTGGGCTCCACCTGCACGACGCGCGAGTCGAGTGCGATTGGTTAAAAGCGGCCAACGCACAGTGGACCAGAAAGCCGGTGCAGGCGGCCAAAATTCTAAACGCGTTTGGTGCTTCAGAGTCGCTAAATGGAACCCCCAACAGGTTCCTCGTTCAGAGAGCAGTCTATTGGTGGGGTCACACGTTCGGTTCGAGTCCCATTTAGTGTCTCGGGCACTCAAAACGCGTTTAGAACTTTGGCCGCCTCCGCCGGTCTTCTGGCCCACTGCGCAACGAGGACAGCGCCTCGATGACAGTGTAGCCTACTCACGTGGTCCACGGCCTGGAACTGGATGTATTCAGAGAAGCCCTCGTTGAGCCACAGCTCGTCCCACCAGGCCGGCGTCACAAGGTTGCCGAGCCACTGATGCGCCAGCTCGTGAGCCACCGTCTCCGCCACGAGTTCGACCGGGCCCACCCCGTCGGACTCCTTGTCCACCAGGAGGTGCATTTCCCTGCGCAGATTGCCTCGTCAAGACGCCTCGGTACAGGGGGCGGAAGACCTGTGGAGGCCGCCAAAATTCTAGACGCGTTTTGAGCTCCAGAGTCGCTAAATGAGACTCGAACCGAACGTGTGACCTGGATTCCCCGTTCGGAGAGCAGTCCATTGGTGGGGTCACACGTCGGGTTCCGGTCCTATTTAGCGACTCAAAACGCGTCTAGAATTTTGGCCACCGGCGCCGGTCCTCTGGCCCACAGTGCTCCGACTGTGGCTCGTTGTTCTCCAGCGGCCACCCACCGGAAGATGACGAGCCCCCAGTTCTCCATGGCGCCGAAGTCGAAGTCCGGGACGGCCAGCAGGTCGATCTTGCTGAGGGGGAACGGCACCGAGAAGTAGTCGGCGTAGTAGTCCAGCAGCCTGGGCACCATCTCCACGGCGTACCGGCCGCGCTCCAGGACCGTCGACCGCGCCCACAGCCGCACCTCGACCTGCGCGTCCACCTGCGCGCCCACCTGGGGCGGGGAGGGGAGAACGACCCTTTTGTGGCCACAACTTTGTCACCTCAACTGTCCCCATAAAAAAACGCGCTTCAGAAGCACGAGGTTTGGATACAGAAAACAGTCTAATGACTCATAAATGAGTGCCGCTACTGGTGGTGATGCCGACGTGATTTCTTCCGCCCGAGAGCACTTCCCAAGATGCATTCCGTCCAACAGCATTTTTCTGCCAAGAGCATTCTTTCCGCCCAACAGCATTTCTGATCCATTTTCAGTATCCATACCTCGCTCTTCGGAAGCTCAGTTGGTGGGGAGACAGTTGCTAGGACACTTGTTGCCTCAAAAGATACGTGAAGGAAGGATTGGTAAAAACGGCTAAAATGACCGCAGGCTACGGTTCTTCGTTCAAGCTCGAACTGAGTACCCCGCTAGACGGTGCCGTCGTGGAGGCCGTCGTGGAGGCCGTGCTCGGAGAAGCCGCATTCCGAGGCAGGCGTTTAATCCGAGGCGTGATGTATCTGCAGCAAGAACACGAACGTCCATCATTTCTTCCGATTTTGAAAACTAGCGAGGGCCAGAGTTTTCAGGAAAGAAGAGAGGTAGATGAAGAAGGGAGGGGAGGGAGGGTCCGTCACGCCGGACTGGTAAGCTACCCTCCCTCCCCTCCCTTCTCCATCTCCCTCTCTTCTTTCCTGAAAACAAGTTTGACAAACCGTAGGGCGGACAAACCGTAGGTTAGAGAAAAAATGGCGATGCAAGAGAGGTGAGGTCGGACAAAAAGAGGTCGTACAAACGATGTCCGCCAGAATTATTTGCAGGGAAAAGCTGTTCGTACCCGAAGTCGGTGACGGCGAAGGCGACGAGGTAGGTGGGCATGGCGACGCTCTCCTCGAAGTGGTGCCACCGCCATCCTGGGGCTGCTGCTCTGCAACAGGGAGTACCGGTACAGCTCTTCCGACTCTCGGTGAGCCAGAAGACCGGTGGAGGCGGCCGAAATTCCAGACGCGTTTTGAGCTTCAGAGTCGCCAAAAGGGTCTCGAACCGAACGTGTGACCCACCAATGGACTGCTCTCCGAACGAGGAATCCATTGGTGGGGTCACACGTTCGGTTCGAGTCCTGTTGTTGAGCGACTCTAAGCTCGCTCAAAACGCTGCTGGAATTTTGGCCGCCTCCTCCGGTCTTCTGGCCCACTGTGCGAACGGCCGGCTTTTGCCGAGTGTTGGCGCGGCGCGGCTTACATGGGCGCGGTGTCGTTGAGGGGCGCGTTGGCGATGGCGCTGGTGGCGTTGCTGGTGGCGATGCTGACGCGGAAGGGCGCGCGGAAGCCCGGCTCGTCCATGCAGGGGAAGGCCGACCTGGCGTACGTGGGCTGCATGTGCGTCACGGCCAGCCACCTGCGCGGGCAGGCAAGGCAAACAGTCCGGCGACCTTCAGGGCCAGAGAAAGGTGTGCAGAGTGCTTACTTCTTGGCCTTGGTGACGGCGTCCACGTAGCTAGAACGGTAGAGCCCGCTGAGCGTGTCGCCCAGCGTGCCGTTGAACTTGAAGAACACGATGTACGTGGCGTTCTCGGCCAGCCTCTCCGCCGTCCGCAGCTCCAGCGTGTCCCACGACGGATCCCGGGTCACCGCCTTCAAAGGAATTCTAACCGTTCGTTTAGCGATGCAGTCCTGGCCGAGTTCAAACAGCTCTACTTTTGTGTGCTCCACCTCTTTATCGCGTCGTCCTCGCCGCCAGGGAAGGAGTCCCAGGCCTCGGCCAGGGCCTGCGCGTGGGGGCAGGCCTCGGCCACCGTCACGTCCTCGTCGGCGAGGGTCAGCGAGTCGGACAGGTGCAGCGCGATGGCCGCCGCGCCGCCCTCCGCCGCGACCCGCACCGTGAGCGCCAGCCGGCCCTGGGGGCAGAGCAGCGGAGCACGAACAGCGTGAGCAGCGCGAACAGCGCGGAGCGGCGCGGAGCGGCGCGGACTTGGTGATTCTTGTTTGCACAGATGGGTCAGGTTGCCGTCCTTGGCAGTCCTCGCCAGCCCTTGCCTTGCCTTGCCAGGGCCCAGGCAGGGCCCAGGCCCAGGGCCGCCTGCGCTGCCGGCCTGCTTCCTCGGGAACAATATTTATACGCAGCTACGCAGCGCTACGCAGGTCCGGGTTGAACGACATGCAGGCAGCAAGGCAGGCGGCGGGCGGTGTGTTTGTTTGTCCCGGCCCCGGCCCCTGGTTTGCGCCTTCCCGACCGCCACGGTCGAGAGACTCGAGCAGGACGGGGTGTCTTACCTGGAAGGTGAACTCGGTGGCGTTGGGCGGCGCGACGTCCAGCACGGGCCACAGGTGCAGCCGGTACCGGACGGGCAGCACGTCCTGGGGGAGGCGTTCGTCGTGGACGTGCTCGCCGACGGAGGCTCCGTTCAAGGCGCGGCTCGCGGCCCTCTGCAACAAGCTTGCCCTCATTACGATCGGCGGGGCGGCGAGAGCTGCAGACTGAGTCCGAGAGTCGTTTTCGTCGTCCTGTCTCTCTCTCTCGCACCTATGCGGAATGCCCCATGAGTGCGAGAAAGACAGAACGACTCTCGGAATCAGTCTGCAGCGAGAGGCACGGATGCAGTTTTCGGGGTTTTCAGCGGTGCCTTTTCACTAACTGGGCCGTGTTTACCCTCTTGGTGCGTAGACTAGACGCAGCTCCGCGGAGAGGTGCTGGCATTGACCCAAATCCTGCACGACATGGCGTACTATACGGTGTATTCGCGCCGCGCGCGTGCCAGTGTGTCGTGCGCGGGGGAGGGGAGGGGAAGGGAGCGGAGAGGGGGGGAGGGGAGGGGGGAGGGGCCAGATTATGTTATTTCTGGCGGGTCAACGGACCTTAACCTCGAAAGCGACTGTGCTGCATTCGCACGCATTGTGTCAAGGCGAAAACGGCACTCGCCAGGTTGTGTGTGCAAGTGCACTCAATATTTTTGTTTTCAAAATTACCCCCTCACGTCACACGGGGTGACGCGGGGTGACGGTTGGACTCACCGCCACTGCCGGGGTCGCGGGCGCCCAGACGTATCGGCCGAAGGCGGCGGCGAGCAGGACGGCGCCGAGGATGGCCAGGGCCGCGAGCACGCCCTGCTTCCGCGACACGAAGCAGCCGCCGCCGCGGCCGTACGTCAGCGAGCTCCCCGACGGCTCCGGGATGAAGTCCGACCGGGAGTTGCCCACCGAGGACGACATGGCTGCCAACCCTGGAAAAGAAAGGCCGTCTCTGCTGCAGCGCGGGCCGCGCGGCGGAAAAAACGGGCCGCTCTAGTCTGAAACTAAACGCGGAAATGAGGTAAACTACACTTTCAGAGCGGCGCCCGGTGGGGAGGGGCAAGGGGAACGGGGAAGGGGGCAGCGGAATTCGTCAAAGCCTTAGCCGATGGGTGCTCTGCTCTACAAATAGACGGCGTGGAGCACGGCATCGGCATAGACCCCACAGCGGCTCGTAAAATCTAGTGCGGGGCGTGGCGGCGCCGGGAGGCTGCTTCTCTCTCTCTCTCTCTCTCTCTCTCTCTCTCTCTCTCTCTCTCTCTCTCTCTCTCTCTCTCTCTCTCTCTCTCTCTCTCTCTCTCTCTCTCTCTCTCTCGCACCCACACGGCCGCGCGCGAAGATGCCTCTCGCTGACTTGGGTAAATTATCCAATCATGTGCGGGGCGACGTGCCGACAGGCGCGCTCGGGGAGGTCGAACAAGGTCCACGAGGGGACACTAATGGACCTGCACGCGCTCACTCACGCATCACACGCACGCGCGCAGCCCGGCCACGCACCTGTGCCTGCTCGTCAACTGCACGTGTCCGCGTCGCCGCGAAGGGCCCGCGCTGCCCGCGCTGCCGTGCCCAGTGTCGTAGGGTTGGTGCGACGCGGGGCGGCCCGCTTATCCATTCAGTGAGTCACCGAGTGCCGGGCCCGTCCGCGCCTCCGGGCATGTCCGGGCGGCGAGGCGGCGAGACGGTGGTTCCCTGGACGGTGCAAGCGCCGGACTCGTTGAGGGGCTCGTTGAAGGGCTCGTTGGGGGGCTTCTTGACGGGCGCCCGGCGAGATGCCTCGCAGAAAGACCGCGGGGTGCTTCGCGTCGAGCGGCGCGCGGCGAGCGTAGGGGCGTGGCGGCCGGTGGCGGCGGCGAGCGGCGTCCGTGTGCGTGCGTGCGTAATCTTACGCCCTGCGGCCGGGGCGGGCTGAGGCGCGCACGCGGCCGATTTGCAGACTGAGCCAAGCCGCGGCCGTACCCGCCGTGCCCGCCGTGCCCGCGACCAAAGAGCGCCCTGGCCGCCGGCATGCCGCCGGCCATGCCAGCCGCGAGGCGGTGGCGCCAGCCGGCAGCCGGCGGCCGCGGCGCCGAGGGCAGCACCTGCCGCCGAACCAAACAATTGCAGCGCGAGTACTCTGCCAGCGGTGCAGCCGGCACGGCGAAAAGCGATTTTCATTTCGATAAAGCGACGCCATGCTCGTTTTTTCGCGTTCTGCTTCGCTTGGGAAGTGGTGCTGATATTTTATGCCACTGAAAGGGGACGCCGTCGTGGTGCGGGGCGTCGCGCAGACGACGTCCGGAGTGTGTGTGTGGTGGGGGGGGGGGGGGCAGTGTGGGAGCGCGATGTGCGTTTTCGCACGAACGGGGGCAGAGGCGGGATTGCCGCGTTGGCCCAACTTGTTGGGACTGTCGAGTACGCTAGGTTATGTCTTGCGCTGTGGCGGCAGTGCGGGCGGTGCCGCGTTGCTGGCGTTGCCGCGGGGGCCGGGTCGCGAGGGCTGGGACGTCACTCGGGGACGGGGGGAGGGGCTTGGAGGGGCTGCAGCCTCCAGCTCTGTGTTGCGCTGTTCCGCTATTAGGCCCTAGATAACGCCACCCTTGACTGGCTGGAGCCTCAGCCCGGGGGGCGGCAGGCCGCGGCAGGGCGACCGAGCCGAGAGGAGCGCCCCGACTAAACAGCAACGGATCGCAAAACGCGGCGGGGACGGGGGGAGGCGCCTTGCCGCCGTGCCGCCACCGCCCTGCCCCCGCCTGCCCCCGCCTGCCCCGAACACTGGCACAATCAATGCCTCAGCCTCCACCACGGTCGTCGCGATCAGGATGGTGGCGATGGTGACGTCGTGGTCCTGGCAGGCTCCAAGTTCCAGACCAGAGCGCCAGGTGCGGCCTGTCGGGCCTGCCGGGACTGCCGCGACAGAGGTTGTCTCTCCGCTCCACAACACCCCTGGGACGTTTTCGCATCCACCAGGATGAGGTTCTGGCCGTGCTCGACACCGTGCTCGTCGCCGTGCTGCAGTTTCCTCCCCGGCGCGTGACACGACCCGCCGCCGCCAAATCCCACAGACTATGTTTCAAATCCCTCAGGCCATTTCTGAAATCCCACATCTCAGCCAATGATTTTCATCGCAGTTTCCGGCATCTTATTTTATTACATCTGATTCCACGTTGTGAGAGATTGAGCGACGGGAAAGTAAAAGTAGAGGTGAAAAGAAAGGTAACTTTTGGTACGTACGTGCTTCGAGATGCGTTATGCGGCACGGCAGTCTGTCTCGTGTCGAGTATCATTCCTATAAATATCCCGAATGAGATATGGGTCGGTCAACTGATCAGGCGAAATCCAGCTCTGCCCCGACGTCCCAGAGGCCCGGACGGGGCGCTGGCGCCGTGCTGGGGTGTTGGCGCCGCGCGGGTGGCCTCTGAAGACCGCGCGCCACGCCCGGAGGCCCGGGGGCTGCCGAGGTCCTGGAACCAGCCGACAGACTGACTCCGCGCCGCGTTTCGTTGCGCTGTCTCTCTCGCACTTCCGCGCCACGCTCCAAGAGCGCGACAGAGACAGAGCGACGCAAAAGATGTTCGGAATCGCTCCACGGCATCCCCGGAGTAGAACCGTGACAGCTAATCTCGCAGCATCGCGCGGCCTCAAAGCATACACTACCGGAGTGCGGGGGCGGCGCGGCGGCCGGGGGGGGGGGGGGGGGGGGGGGGGGGGGGCATTTCAAAGGGGCCGTATTGAAGGAAGGTTCCCCCGTGGAATAGAAATATGCTGCGGCAGCGGAACGGCCAGACGCCTGGCCGTCCGCGGCACAGTTTTCGCCCTTCGCCCTCGCCGCCCTCGCCCGATCGCGGCGCCAGACGCAGAGCACGGGGAGCACGGGGGAGCGGGGCGCATTGCTTTGGAACGGAAAGGACCGGGCCAAAGCTGCGCAAATGCCGGGGCGAAGCGAGTCAGATTCGGCGTCGGCCCGCCGGGTTTGCCTGTTCCAATCGAGGAGTGAGTCAGCGGGGCGGGCGCAGCGCGCAGCCAGCGCACCAACGGCACACGGCACCTGTGTCAACGGCGCGGCGGCGGGGCTGCGGGGCGCATGCAGCAGGATGGGCGGGGCTGGCGGGGCTGGCGGGGCTGGCGGGGCTGGCGGGGCTGGCGGGGCTGGCGGGGCTGGCGGGGCTGGGGGGCTGGCGGGGCTGGCGGGGCTGGCGGCCAAAGGAAGACGGCCCGTCGCGACGAGGGGTTGTGCCGCGGGCTTTCCGGGCGGACAAAGGAAGCCCGGAGTGGAAGGCAGGTCCTCGGCCCCTCGGCCAGGCCTCAGCCGGGGCCGCGCTCCGGAAGGACTCCGTTTTCACGCGGAATAAGAGAAACAAGGACCAAGGGATCGCACGGCACGAGACTAGAAAAAAGCGCATCTCGCTCTCGCTTTTGTTTAAATTTACAATCAGCCCGCATCGCCCGCAGGCGAGAGCAAGCAAGCCTCGCCTCGCCTCGCCTCGCCTCGCCGGCCGCATCCGGGGCGGTGCAGGCGAAGCAGGCGGCGTCGCGTCGACCCCCGCGCCCCCAGGGAATCCGCGCGCCGCGCTGGGCCACACAAAGCAAGGGCACAGCGCGCACAGCGGGAGGGGCGTCCTGGAGCTGTCGAGAGGCTCCCCCGTGTCCAACGTGCAAGAGTACGCGGGCTTCGCGCGCTCCGCAAGCCTCTGCAGGCGAGGGCACGCGAAGCAGTGCGTCACCCTCGCCCCGCACGTCGGCGGCGGCGCGTCGGCCGGACTAGATTGGCGCGGCACGGCGGCACGGCGGCACGGCGACTCGGCTAGGAGGGCGGGGCGGCGGGGAGGAGGCCGCGGAGTGCCACATTATCCTGTTGAGACGCGCGGGAGGGCCGGGGCGTCGGGGGGCGGGCGGGTGCGGGGGCGGCGATCCGCCAGGACAAGAACAAGTGTGTGTTTCTGCGGCTAAATAGGCGTCACGCCGCGCGCATGTCGAGGGCATCGTCCGTTCCAGCTCACTCGAGAAAAGCGCGGGCCACCGGTGTTTGAACCCGCGACCGCGAGCGGGGGGCAGGGAAAACGAAAACGAAACGTCTGCGCTGACGCAGGATGCTTATTGCTCGGCCTGGGCACGGCTCGGCCCGGCCTCCGTTGCAATTGTTGCCCCGCAGTGGGGAGGTCATCGGGCTGCCGGGGCGGGGCGGGGAGGGGAGGGGAGGGGAGGGGAGGGGCGGACGATGTCGCGGCGGACACTGGGCCCTGGACGCCAAGCCCGGCCCCGGCCCAGCCTAGTGCCAGACGGCAGGCAGCACACGTCCATTGACGCGGACGTCTCCTGGAGGAACCCGCACGTCACGGACAAGGTAAACGCCACCTCGTCTGCTTGGCGCGTGTGCGTGTGTGCGTGCGTGCATGCGTGTGCGTGTGTGAGAGTGCGTGCGTGTATGCGTGTGGGTGTGTGTGTGCGCGCGCGCCAACCGTTCAAGAAGAGTGCCCGGCGTGGTGGAGGGCCGTTTTGGGCGGTAAAACGAAGTGCTTCGGCGGCATCGGTCTCTTGCGGGGGAAGGTGGCAAGCACGGGTTATGGCAAAAGCACGGGTTATGCGCCGGGAAGGGGATGCGCGGCTCGGAACGGGTACCCATTCCTTTGGGAACACGAAACTCTCGGAAGCGATTCTCCCGTGTCCGGAATGGCAGTGTATATCTTTGTTCGTTTTGCCGTTGACAGCCATGGCGCCGCAACCGCGCTGCTCCAAGGGCCCGCTGGTGCTGGTGGCGCTGGTCTGTCTGTGGGCCGCCCTCGGAGGCTTCGCGGCAGCCGCGGCAGCCGCCCGGGTAAGGACGACTCGGACCTCGATCTCGCTCCCAAACGGGCTACCCGAAAGTACCACGTTGACAGCGGGCCATGTTGCAGGCTGCGGATGCGGCGGAATATGACCCGCTAAAAGCATTTCGGTCTCCGTCCGTCGCCCCGACGGGCTACGCCGTGGACCTGCAGGTGGTGAACGACGCGCAGCAGCCGTCCTACAACCTGACGGGCCGCGTCACCATCACCGTCACCTGCCGCACGCCGACGAGCCTCCTGAACCTCATCGTCGACCCCCAGGTGCGCATCGGGCCGAACCCCGTCCTCACGTGAGTACTCCACCGCCAACTGCAGCACTGTAGCGCACCGCAGCGCACAGTGGACCAGGAGACCGGTGCACGCGGCCAAAATCACCGACGGGTTTTGAGCTCCAGAGTCACTAAATGGGCCTCGAACCGAACGTGTGACCCCACCAATCGATTGCTCTCCGAACGAGGAATCCATTGGTAGGGTCACACGTTCGGTTCGAGTCCCATTTAGCGACTCTGGAGCTCAAAACGCGTCTAGAGTTTTGGCGCGTCCACTGGTCTTCTGGCCACAGTGCAGCACACTTCCTCTCTTGTCCACTCAATGCGCTAACATGACGTTCGTTCCTGTGGACGCAGGTCCACCCTGACGGGTGACGAGCCGATGCGGGTGATGCACTACCTACCGGGCGATCCCTACATCAGCCTGCAGCTCCCCAAGACCCTCAAGGCGGACCACTCGTACCAGCTCAAGCTCAACTTCAGCAGGATCGTGCCCACGGACGTGCAGGCCGAGAAGTGCGTACCCGACAAGGAGTCCCACAGGGAGCACCGTGGGCCAGAAGACCGACGCCGCGCCGACGGCCAAAACTCTACACAAGTTTTGAGCTCCAGAGTCGCTAAAAAGGACTCGAACCGAAAGTGTGACACCACAAATGGATTCCTCGTTCGGAGGGCAGTCCATTGGTGGGGTCACACATTCGATTCGACTCCCATTTAGTGACTCTGGAGCTCAAAACGCGTATAGAGTTTTGTCCGCTTCCGCCGGTCTTCTCGTCCACTGTGCGGCGTCCGACACTGCGTCGTGCCTGCACTGTGATCCACCCTCTGTTTGCAGCCGCCTGTACCACGTGGCGCTGCTCATCTCGCCGGGCCAGGCCTACAAATTCTTCCCCGTCTTCAACGAGACCAACTACAAGGCCCCCTTCGAGGTGAACGTGACGCACCTGCAGCGCTACACCTGCCTGTCGGCGTCCAAGGTCGGCCAGCGCATCAAGGTACTGGCCCCCGACAGCCCCAGAGTCTCCTGGACGGGCCAGGCCACGCCCCTGGCCATCCAGATCATGCGCGTAAGCAAAGCTCGAAAGCGATACCGAATACCGAACCAAATTCCAGCTCTCTTTCTCTTTTGCGCTCTGTAGTTGTCCTTTAGGAACATAAAACACGTATCACTTTCGAGTTGTCACTGTCACGTTTTTTTTTTTATTTTTTTCGATCAGTTGGCTTATTAATCCGTATGGTGTTCTGGTTGCCTCGAACTTACTGGTCATGTCGTGTCCCGGGGGTCGTGTGCCTCACGTGTGCGTGTGCGTTTCAGGTGTTGGAAAGGCCGCGGAACACGACCGGAGAGTGGGTGCTCTCCGCATTCGAGAAGTCGATGCCCGTCACCCTGCGGCAGTTCTCCCTCCTCGTGGCAGACTTGAAGCTGGTCAACGAGACCACCATCCCGCGTGAGTGTACCTGCAGCTCGACCTGCAGCGGCTGAGAGTCGCTCTCCTCGCTGTCTCGCTCGCACTCAGGGGGCGCCCCGTAAAACGTGCGAGAGAGACAGAGCGACGAAAGCGACCCTCGGAATCAGTCTGCTGGGGGTACTGGGTGCAAACTGACCGGTACTGACGTTGGGCTGTTGCGTGCCGCGCTCCAGGTCTGGTGGACCCCAACAACAAGCCGGCCGACGGCTCCAAGTCGGTGCAGGAGCGCCTGTGGACGCGGCCCAACTTCGCCCGCGCCACCTTCCTGGCCGCCCAGATGGTGCCCGAGGCCATCTGCCACGTGCAGTGCTATGTCGGCGTGCCCTTCCCCTTCAACACCATGGACGTGGTCGCCATGCCCTACTACTCGGACACACCCATCGTGGCCGCCTCGCAGGCCGTCTTCAGGTGAGCGTCGCCAGGCAGGCAGCCCGTGTCACACAGCACACACAGTGAAATGGAAGACCGGCGCCGGCGGCCTAAACTCTAGGCGCGTTTTGAGCTCCAGAGTCACTTAATGGGACTCGAACCGAACGTGTGACCCCACCAAAGGATTCCTCGTTCGGAGAACAATCCATCGGTGGGGTCACACGTTCGGTTTGAGCCCTATTTAACGACTCTGGATCTCAAAACGCGTCTAGAGTTTTGGCCGCCTGCGCCGGTCTTCTGGCCCACTGCACGCAGACGTGCGCTGTGCGGGTCTGCATGACGCGGCCCTCGGCGTCGTGGCCGCCGCCGCCACGCGCGCTGTGCGCTGTGCGGCCGTAATCCGTCCGCGAGTCCCGTCAAGTCGTCCGCCTGTTACGCGCTGAGGGCTGCTAAAACTTTCATCCCGGCCGCCGGGCCGCCCCGAGCAGCCCCGAGCCTCCCCGAGCGGCCCTCACCTCAAGCCGCGCCACGCCATGGCTACGCCCATGGCTACGCCGGCCGCTACGGCCCATCGCATTGCCCCGAGAGCCGCCCGGGACCTGTACATAAATTATGGAAGGTTTCCGGGAGGAGCCGGCCGAGGAGCGGCCAAGGAGCCAGCCCATGGCCCATGCTTGAGGTGGAGGGCTGCTTCGGCGCGCCGTCCTTCGTCCTTGTAGCGGCCTTTTGGCCGAGGTCTTTCGGCCCCTCGTGCCGCCGTGCCGCCGTGCCGCCGTGCCCTCGTCCGCTCCACGATGAGCCGCTCATATTTGCTCAAGGGCTTGGGGCCGCCCCGCCCCGCGGCCGCCCCGGAGTCGCGTTGTCCTGCCGGGCTGCCGGGCCGCCGGGCCGTCGGGGACACGGGCTGTTTATTCCTTGCTTCGCTTCGCCTGCAGGGAGAGCGACCTGCAGTACGACCCCAACATGGACGGGCTCATGCTGCGGCTGGCCCGCGTCGTGGCCGAGCAGTACTTCGGCGTGATGGTGACGCCGGTGCCGGACTCACGCGCCGTCAGCGAGGCCCTGGCCAACTACGTGGCCTCCGAAACGGTGCGCGCGCTGCGGCCCCGGGAGGCCCCCGAGGGCACGGAGAAGATGACGGTGCAGCGCGCCGACATGAACCACGGCGCCCACGCCGGCCAGGCCGGCCACGCCGCCCCGTCCGCCGCGCCGACCACGGCCGCCACGGCCACCAAGGCCACCGCGACCACCGCGGCCCCGACGACCACCAAAGCCACCTCGGCCACCACGGCGACGCCAGCCACCGGGGTCGCCACGTCCGCCACCAAGGCACCAACCAAAACCAACAAAACTTGCGACTGCAAACAATACGAGGTCAGGATGCGCTCTTCTCCAATATTGTGAAATATTGTGCGTATTGTTGAAACTTCAGTACTTATTCGTTTCGATAATATCTTCTGTACCAGTCGGACAAGTCGGACCTCCTGGTGAACGCGCTGTACTCCGTCTACTACGAGCTGGGATCCCAGTTCCCCCTGACGGGCCTAACCAGCACACAGAGGCCTGCCCTGCAAAGCGTAAAAAGTAGGCAACGCGAGGCCAGTCCTTCGAGCCAGTGGCGAGAGAAAACATTGAAAACTGTTTTGCTTTTCCCTGCAGCTGAATTGATCGTTAGGATGCTGGCCATCACGCTGGGCGAGAGGACGTTCAAGTCGGCGCTCAAGGGGCTCCTGGAGGACAAGTAGGTGTGGCGGCGCCTCGGGCGGCGCGGCGCGTGGCGAACGGGAACGGCGTCGGCGAGTTGATGACGGCCTGCCTTGCCTTGCTTGCCTGTCCCACAGGAACGCCGGCTTCTTCTCCGCCAGCGACCTGTGGAAGCTGCTGACGCAGCACGCGTACGCCGCCGAGTCCCTGCAGCAGCCCCTGGACGTGGAGGCCATCGTGGCGTCCTGGGTGGACAAGGACCGCTTCCCGCTGCTCACCGTGAGCCGCGACGACCACGACAACAGCGCCAAGCTGACGCAGGTACGCCGCATTGTGGGAAAAGAGACCGGCGCAGGCGGCCAAAACTCTAGACGCGTTTTCAGCTCCAGAGTCGCTGAATGGGACTCTAACCAAACGTGTGACCCCATCAATGGGTTCCTCGTTCGGAGAGCGATCCATTGGTGGGGTCACATGTTCTGTTCGAGTCCCACTTAGCGACTCTGGAGCTCCTGGAATTTTGGTCGCCTCCACCGGTCTTCTGGCCCACTGTGGCCACCGGCCGCGGACCGCGCTCTCGTCCCACCAAACACCGAACTCGGAGCGCGACCACCATGCTGACGGCATGCTTGTTGTTTGCCGGCGCGTGCGGCGCGCAGACCGTGTTCCGGCGCCGCAACTACACCCCCGAGGAGCGCGACCTGGACAAGGAGAACGCCATGGTGTGGAACATCCCCGTGCTGACGCTGACCGAGGGCCAGGCCTTCGCGCGCCTCGAGCACGCGCCCCGCTTCTGGATGAGCTCCAGGACCGCCCTGCTGGAGAACGCGTCCCTGGGGGACAGCTACCTCGTCGTCAACCCCGAGGAGACAGGTTGGACGTTCGCTGGAGCAGAGTGGCGGCAGTGTAAGTGCCTGTCACGAAACGCTAAAGCCGATTTCCTCCTCCTGCAGCTCCGTGCATCGTCAACTACGACAAGCGCAACTGGGAGCTGCTGTCCAACGCGCTCAACGACCGCAAGGCCCCCGAGCTGCCGCCGCGCACCCGCGCCAAGCTGCTGCACGACGCCGTGATGCTGGCCCACGCCGGCTCGCTGGCCTTCGGCGACGCGCTGCCGCTGCTGCGCTCGCTGGAGAGGGAGACGTCCCCCGCCGTGTGGCAGCCCATCGGCAACGTGCTGGACCACGTGCGCCGCGACGTGGAGGGCACGCGCCTGGAGGACAGGTTCACGGTGAGGGCCCTCGCCGCCCTCGCGGCGGACCGGCGACCAGACCTCCAGAGTCACCAAACAGGACTCGAACCGAACTTGTGACCCCACCAATGGACTCCTCGTTCGGAGGGTGATCTATTTGTGGGGTCACACTTTTGGTTCGAGTCTCATAATTTAGCGATTCTGGAGCTCAAAACGCGTCTATAGTTTTGGCCGCCTCCACCGCTCCTCTAGCAAATCCACTGTGTGGCGCACACGCGATCGAGGCCAGAGTGGCGCCAGGAGTCACAATCAACCACACTGACAGAATATTTGTCTCGAACTCACGGAAGTACTCATGTTCATGTTCGTGTGGTTCCAGATGTTCTTGGAGAGCATCCTCCGGGGTGCGCTGCGCAACGTCAACGATAGGCTGGACGCCAAGGACCTGTGCGAGTGCGAGGCCAGGCAGCTGTACGAGACGCGCGCCCTCATCCTGCAGCAGCTCGCGCGCGCCGACATGCAGCCCTGCATCAAGGAGGCCAGGGCGGCCTACGAGACCTGGGCCGCCTCGGCCGACCCCGAGGAGGGCAAGCCGTGAGTAGACGACAGTGGCGCGGATGGCAATGGGCAGCGCCGGCGAGTCAAGTCCCGTGCGCCTTGGCCGCGCGTTGGGCTGCCTACCCACCAGGCGGCCGGCTCGCCACACAGTGGCTTTTGTGCTCTAAAGTCGCTAAATGGGACTCGGACCGGGCGTGTGACCTCTCCGAACGAGGAATCCAATGGTGGCGTCACACGTTCGATTCGAGTTACATTTAGCGACTCTGGAGCTCAAAACGCCTAGAGCTAGGCTTTTGGTCGCCTCCAGCGGTCTTCTGACCCACTGTGCGATTGCCCGCCGCGTCGCTCCTGAGACTAACCGCGCGTCTTTGCACTTGCAGCATGCCGGACAGCCTGATGTGCTGCCTGTTCCAATGGGGCGAGGACAAGGAGTTCGAGTTCGGCGTGCAGCGCCTGCTCCACTTCCCCGAGTCCCGGCAGCGCACGGAGCGCGCCTTCCTGCTCCGGGTGCTGTCCGGGTGCCCCAGGGCGGCCAACCGCAAGCAGAGGATCCTCAACATCACGATGCTGGAGAACAACGGCACCTTCTCCGAGGAGGACCAGCGCCTGGTGCTGCAGATGGTGTCGACCAGGGGCTCGGACCTGCTCAACTTCCTGGACGCCAACTGGGACCAGCTCAAGGCCAGGTGGGTACATCGCGGTGCGTCGCGTTGCGGCCGACTCGGTCGACGGCGAGGTCGTGTGCTAACGTGGTGTCCTCGTCGCGCAGGTACGAGTCGCAGCCCTTCATGTGGGAGCACCTGGTGTCGCGCGCGTCCGGCAGCCTCCGGACCCACGATGATCTCAAAAAGGTAATTCGGTGAGCCGGGAGCGGGACTCGAACCCGGGGCGGTGTGTGCTGACGAATGTGTGGCTTGTTGCAGCTCAAGGAGATTTTCCAGAAGCGCTCCGGCGTGTGGGGCGTGGCCGAGGGCGTGGTGCAGCAGGCCCTGCGCCGCGCCGAGTCCAGCGTGGCGTGGGCCGACGAGGCGTTCCCCAGCATGGAGGCCTGGCTGGAGAAGTACCTCGTCAACATCAAGAAGGAGTAGGCCTCCTCTTGTTCTGTCCGGAGTCAGCAGGTCGCCGAATCTTCGCGTCTCTTTTGCGATCCCGTGGGTAGTAAGGTGAACACACGAAGAAGTTGGCTGTGACGTTTTCTTTTCTGAGAGAGTGGCAATGCGAGCCGCCGTTCGACCTGCCGGTGCACTGCGAGTAAGAAGGCCTCGTCCTCTGGAAGGGATCAGCCGCCGAACATCATCTTTGCAGTCCTTCGGAGGGACTCGGCCAGGCTCGGCCCATGGCACTCCGTGCAGGTGTAATAATTAACGCTAAGCAACCTAGACTGAAATCTTTACTGTAAAGACGACCGCACGAGGAACACTACGTCAAAAAGGTACTTCGTAATAGTAGCTAAATTGTTTTAGAAAAAATTTCTGTCGGCAATATTTGTTTGATATTTATTAATAAAGTGTCATTTGTGTTCACCTCTATATCGCCTTCATCCTGCCTTGTCGCCTTTCCCACGGGTGGGGGGGGGGGGCATTGGGGCAATACACCCCTCAAGTTTGGGTCAGGGGGAGCAGAGGGGGGAGCAACATTTTGGGGACTCGAGAACTTAACTAGCGTCTCGGGCAATCCATCTCCACACCATGTCTCAAAGACCATTGGGCACCGTGCACGTGTTTCTTAGACCCAAAACAACGCATCAATGGCTTGGTGGCTCAGATGGTTGACGTAGCGCCCGCCTTGTCATCGGCTGGTAACCTGGTTCGAATCCCAAGCCCGAGGAACGCTTTTGCTTCTTCTCAGGGGGAAAATCGTGACATTGCTTTCCCGTTTCACCGCGCGGTGACGTGTCGAATGGGTGGCCTAACTTCACGGCGCCAAGTGCCGAATGGTTTGCCTACCTTCACGGCACACAGGGCGCAAAACACTTTGTCCTTACAGCCTCGAGTCGCAATGCCTCGCCATCACCTAGTAGGGCAAGAGTCTTTGAGTTTGTTGTCAAGTAAGTTCACGTTTAGCGAATGCTGCGACATTACGTCTTTAAGTGGGCAACCCACTCAGCAGTTCGCCTCATGCTCCCCCTGGAATTGGAACGCGTCGACGCCACTGCTTTCACATATACTTTGATTTCTGTAGTTTTTATTTTTACTTCACTGGTAAAAACTTATTGGATGACGAGGTTAAAGAGGGACAACGACGAATGTGGAGATCTCCCTTTATTATGGCACCAAATGACTACATTGATAAAACATGACAATGATAACAAAGACACATTAACAGTAGGTATAAATTAAAATGATCGCGACCACAAAATAAATAACAAGTCGTATTATGACTGTCAACACGTGCAAATCAGTCCCCCTCAACAGAAACCTTTGAAATGATGGGGCGAAAAATCACCGATAAAAAAAAAGACGGACCTTGTCAGACGAAGTCTGATGTAGCGGTATCGCCAGTGGCGAGGCATTGCACAACTACAGATTTCTAGCATGGCAGCGTGAAATAGAAAAAACTCAGCATAGCAATGACACCAATTGCAGCCTTTAAAAAAAAAACAATAAATAGATGAGCAACTTTCGAATAATTTACAACAACGATTCAACGGACAAATAAAAAGGTATCTACATTCACGCCTTGTAAACGTCAAAATTAAGGAAACGCCGCGACAACCCACGGCGACGGGAAATGTCAGATAATTAACAAGAAAAGCTTTGAGAGTCGGGTGGGGCCGATGGGCGTCCGTCTGGGTGGCGCCCCGCGGCCCAGCAGGTCCATTAGGGCTAGGGCCTGGCACGGCACGGCCTGGCACGGCACGGCACGGCGGCACGGCACCAAGCGACCTTGGGCCCTGGAACTGCAGGACGGGCTGCTACAGGCTGCAGGGCGTGGATGGCCGCGCGGTGCGTGACGGGCCGGGACGGGACGGGACGGCTCGGCGGCAGCCTCGACGCCCTGTCCATCCAGGCCGGCCAGGCCGGCCAGCCCGGCTCGCCTCTCAAATTGGCAATAAGTGAGGGACATTCAGAGCGCCCTGCCCGCCAGCCCTGCCTGCGCTGCGCGGCACGGCGGCCCTACTCCTCGTTGGCACACTGGTCATTGGCACACGTCTCCGCGACTCCAGAGGGCCCCGCGGGGTCGGCCGCGGGGGCGGCGTCGGCAACGTCGGCGGCGTCCTCGGCTTGCTGGGGCTCCTCCGGCTGCACCTTCTTGGCCTTCTGCTTCTTCTTGTTGAGCTCCGCTTCGGTTGCCTTCTTCTTCTTGCCCTTGGACGCCTTCTCGGACAGAGGCACCTCCTCCGCCTCCAGCCCGGCCGCGTCGGCGCTCCTCTTCACCTTCTTGCTCTTCGACGCCTTGGCGGGCTTGGCCTCCTCCTGGACGGGCTCCTCCGCGGCGGCCACCTCCTCCTCGGCGACGGCCTCCACCTGCTTCTTGGACTTGCTGGCCTTCTTGCCGAGCTTGCCCTTCACGTCGCCGCCGGCGGGGACCTTCTTGCCCTTCTTCCGCAGCTTGGTCCTCCTCGGCGAGCACGGGGGCCTCGCGCTTGCCGCGGACCTCCGTCTGCCCGTCGGCCTCGGCTTCATCCAGGGCCTTCTTGTTCTTGTCCTTGACGTACTTCTCGCCGCCACTGCACTTCCTGCAACAGCGCCAATTACATCACTCAAAGCAAACGAAACATGCAGTTTGCAGCGGCACTAGGATTGCACTTACTTTCCCTGGCATTTCTTGTTCGTGCCGTCCTTGAACTCGCTCTTCTTGGCGTCCAACGATCTGCCCTCCTTTGCTTTCAGGTCCTTGGAGTCCTTCTTGCCCTTCGAGTGCCCTTTGGAGCTCCCGGCTGCAGCCAGTGCCAGCACGGCCACCAGCAGAAGCACCAACACTGCCCTGCAACACATCAACATCACAGTGAGGGAAAGGAACAGAAACGAAGAAAAACAAAAAGCTCAAAATTACGGCTGGCGAACGCATTTAACTAGGCCAATTATTCCGGGCGGGTCCCCTTCGCCCGAATTAGAGAAAAACTGCGCCCTTATGTACAAAATGCCCTTCGTTAATTACTGCAAATTCGTTAACGGCGTAGGGCCGGCATCCGAGCTTCTTTCCCTCGCCGGGGGGAGGGGGATAGTAATGAAGGGAGGCGCCGGGCATTTGTCACCCAGTAACCCCCTCGCCTCCCCTAGAACCCCGCATCAGAGAGGCGTCCCTCCGCGGCGCCGGCCACGGCTACAGCCCCGCGAAGGGGTTATGGCCAGAGGCGGCCAGAGGTACGGCCGCCCCCGCCGCCCCCGCCGCCCCCGCCTGCACCGCGCTCAGCCACTGCTCCAGCCACGCCGTAATCCTTACGACCTGCCGGTCGCCATGGCTACGCTGCGCTACGAAGCCGCGGACGTCCACACATGGGATTAAGACTTTTTACCTCGTTGCGCGCCGGAGGGGAGGGGGCGGGGCAAAACAAACCACGGACACGGCCGGACTCACGTGCAGACGACGCTGCTGCGCGGCACCAGCCTCTTCATGACCATCCTGCGAGCCATGAAGCCCGCGTCCACGGGGCACCACATGTCAAGTTAATCGCGAAACGCTCGTCAACACTATAAAAACCAAAGAGCCGGCGCCGGCGTGGTGCATGCAGGCCGCGCGTCCGACAGGCACAGCCACTCCTTTCTTTTTCAGCCACGGCTGAGTCAAACAGTCAAACTAAAACTAAGTCAAACGCGGAAGGCGGCGGCTCGGCGTCCGTGCGTGCGTGCTGTCAACTGCTGTGCGGTGCCTGCGCAGTGCGTACCACCGGGTGAACTGCGTGGCTGAGAGCAGCGACCCCCTCCCCCTTTCCCCTTCCCCCTTCCCCTCCCCGCATCTCAGTTAAACAAAACGGTCAAGATAGATGCGTCTGTGTCGCCTGTGACGTCAGCAGTGCGTCAGCCATGACCTGGAAAGACGTCAGTGGACGAAAGCCATAAGGGACGGGACGCGCTGGGAGGGCCGCCGCCGCGAGTTAAGCTGGAGGTCAACGGAGCCCTTTGCACGGCGTCAAAGAGGGCCGCGGCTCTTCCTCGTCGCCCCGCCGCCGGGGTCGCGGATGGGGTCGCGGGGGGGTCGCGGTGGACGGGGCACAACCAAGCACAACGCGGCGGGTCGTGGCGGGGTTGTGGCGGGGCAGGGTGAGGTGGGACGGACTGCCGCCCAACGCCGCCGAGCTGCGAGCCGCTCGGTGGCGCACACATTTCAACACGTCCATGCGCCGCCGGGAACCTAATTTCCCGACTCCAAAACTAGCTGCTCGCTGAATAATGGAGAGGAAACTCAAGTCTGACAATAAATGAGCCAGTCTGCAACGGCCGGCCGCCACGGCGGCGTGAAGGCACACGCGAAACACGGCTCCGCGAATCGTAGCTGGGCGACCGCGGTTCAGACAGGAAAAGGTCCGTCCTTTGACCGCCTGTCGCGTCGCCCGACGCACCGACTCGGAGTGGGCGTGGCCTGGCGCGGCCCGCGCACTCTCGGCGATAAAGTAAACAAAGCCCGGCGCCGACTCACACACTGTACTCACCACCTCATTTTCGTTGAGTCTCGACGCCGAGTTGCGCTCAAATTCCTCTCACGTCCCCGGGGAGGTGCGTGGACAACAATCTCTCGCTGCGGTCCGTACGTCGTCGTCTCGTCGCGCCGTCTGTCGTCCTCCTGGCTTCAGCCTCCGCCTCGGTCTGCTCGGCTCGCTGCCGCCGGGGACAGCGCTGCTCCCTCTGCCACACACACACAGACACACACGCGCGCGTGCTATCAGCCAGCCCACTTGTTGGCGCGTTGCTACTTATGCCGCCGATAAGGAGCAAGGAGGCGCGCGGCCCCGCGCCTTGCCCGCGGTTTGCCCGCGGTATCTTACGTGTCCTGCGGCGGTTCGAGGAAGCTCCTTGCGGGCGGCGTGCTGCCACCCTCGTCGTCCACGTATCGGAAGCCCTGTTTGTTGACACTGTGCCGCCCGGCCCGCTAGTCCGCTCGGCTGCTGCGCCTGCGTGGGCCTGCGTGGCCGTGCTGGACTGGCTGTCGGCTGGCCGCCGGGCCGCCCGATGACGCTGATTGGCGGATGCAGAGCGATGCAGAGCCCGCCAAAGCCGACGGGGCACCGGCGGGGCGGCCGGTGGCGTCACAACACAAAGCGCGCGGGAAGTAGCACGTCGAAGAACCGTCTCATCTCTGTCTCTGTCGCACTCATGGGTGCTCATGGGGCACTCGCGGCGGAGCGAGAGAGACGGAGCGATGAAGTGAACCTTCGGAAACGCTCGGCAAGACGAAGAGACGGCGGCGGACGGAGGGAAGTCCCGGCCGAGCTGCGCCTGGCTGCGCCGACGAAGGGTGGCCGGTCAAAGGAAAAGCAGCGGGGAAAACGGGAAAAGCGCCGCATCCCGTTTCCCTCAGACAAAACGCGTCCCCGAACGCAATCCGAGTTTCTTCCGGTCGGGCGGCGTCCGAAATCCGAAATGCCGAACGCCGCGCCGCCAAAATGCGCCGGCCGCGCCGTCAGTTCCGTTCCGTTCCGCGGGGCTGCCGCCGTCGTCGTCCCGAACGCGGCCGCGGGGAGCGGGAGGGGAGGGGGGCGAGGGGGGAGCAGCGAGGCGATCTATTTGAGAGATGAAAGAGGCGGAGATGGGAGAAGGTCCAGGCGGGGCGGCGCGGGGCGGGAAAGGCCGCACAATCGCGAACCGTCTCCGACTCCACCGCGTGGTTGGCGAGGCAGAAGGCCCGCGGTTCGGACGCTGGAGCGTCGCCGCCGAACATAGTAGCACACACCGTTTCAAACTTGCCGGGAAAAATGAAAATTAGATCACGGTTATTGAAAATATGAAGTATTCTAGCGGTCAGCGTGAGAGAGGTGCAGTGCAGGGGACACGACAAAGGGTTCCATGTGGTGACATCGACGAGAAGGTCACAAGCGTGATCGCTGCGATGCCGTCAGTGCGAAATTGCGGTAATCACTTGGTTATGCCATTCAGAGGACGTCGTCGAGGTGGACAGCGCGGAGCCACGCGGCACGCGGGGCGCGCCACCGGCCGAGTCCACGGATGTCATGGCCGGGGCAGGCAGGGCAGGCAAGGCAGGCAACCAGCAGCGCCGTGGTGGCCTGGGGCTGCGGCAGGAGGCAGGGGAGGGCGCCAGACTCGGGCTTTCGTCGCCGAATTGGTGGCGACACGTCCACGTCAGAGCAGAGCGTCAGAGAGCCTTTCCGTTCGGAATGGTGACGCACAGAATCCTCTGTCCTTTGCGTCGCTTTGCGCATGTTTCCCCCGGTAATCTCGGGGGCAGATTAGGTGCACGAAAACAGCGGACGGTTTCGGAGGGGAAGCCGCGCTTTTGGCCCTGCTGCCGCCGCTCTACGCGCGACGCAGCCCCGGCTACCCATTTCAGAGCTTACTCAGAATCTGTCCCCACCCAGAGTGGGATTATGATTTTGGGGAGGGGCTATCCATCTGTACACATTTTGCGCAAGTTTCAACTAAAGTGTTATCTGCTCCCACCTGTGTTTCGTCTTCTTGGGGCTCACGGAGCTGGGAGCGCATAAAAAGCTGCACTGTAAAAAATACCATTAAATTTATGTAGCCAATGGCTTCTTGAATTTTCTTAGCCAGACACGAAAGTGTGTTTAAAGCGCCACTGGCTATGGAAAGGTCACTTTCCAAACCGCGACAGTGAATTTATAGTGCCAGTGGCTTATAAAATTTTCAAGTCGAAATGTGAAATTTACCGCTTGGCTAACAAAACGATGCTTCCCTCAGCCACGACTTTAAATTTGACAGCCCCTTGGCGAAGAAAAATCATAGGTGTGGCACTGAAAAGGCATCCTACCCTGACGACAGTTATGAAATTTCAAGTCGTGGCTAAGGGAAGGATGCTTTGCTTCGCCGCACCTGGTGGTGGCGACTAGTCCTCGCGAGTCCATGATGAAGCTCCGTCGAGCGCTCTGCCAAGCAGCGGTGCGGTGGCCGAGGGGTCAGGGCACAAGACATCCAAGTTGAAGTTTGGGGTTCTATGCCAACCGCTCGTGCCGCTTTTTTCATCGGCCCGAGACGAATTCTCCTCGCCACAACTAGAAAGTTCACAATATTGGTTCCGAGTATCCTTGCCAGCGCCACGACTCAAAAATTGCCATTTGGCGTAGGAAGAAGCCTTCTGATCGCCAGTGGCCAACAAAATTTCGTGTGCCATGGCGAACGAAATTTCATTGCCATTGGCACACGAAATTCATTAGAAGTATAACTAAGAAGGGGCGTTTCACTAGCCACAACACGAAAATTCGTGTCAAAATTTTTTACAGTGTGGTGAGCGAGGATTGGAACCAGGATAGAATGAATATACCGACAGAAATGGTGGATTGTTTTGGTTATTTTTAATTCTATCCCTTTTTCACTTTTTGAAGAGTTACAAAAGTATAGAAAAATACGTGACACGATTTACAAATAGTGTGGTTCAGCCAAAGAAAAATAAATCGAGAGCTAAAGGAAAAATAAATAAATATCTAACAAAATTAAACTACGCAAAGAAATAAATAAAGGAAAGCCCTACGTGGCTTATACTGGTAACTTGGAATTGGTAACTTTCTTTTGACAAGAACACAAATGGACTCCTTTATCCTCCCCCAGCTCTACACTCTGCCAACACCGACACGACTCCGAACGGGGAAAGGGACCGGGCCTCTCCGCGCGGGGTATCTGCGCCCTGCCTGCGCTAGCGACACGGAGTATCGGTGGCGGAGTCGTGGCGCTGGGAGCAGCGCGAGCCGCGTGGGGGAGACACTCCCTTCCGCTGCAGAGTAGTCAATCTAGTACTGGTACCCCTGGAATCCCTGCTGGCCCTGACCGGGCTGCCTGAATGCAGGACCCTGCTGTCCGGGGAGGCCACCCTGCTGCCCGGGGAAGCCACCCTGCAGTGCAGGAAGACCACCCTGCTGTCCGGGGAAACCACCCTGCTGTCCGGGGAAGCCACCCTGCTGTCCAGGGAACCTACCCTGTTGTCCAGGAAGACCACCCTGCTGTCCAGGAAGACCACCCTGCTGCCCGGGGAAACCACCCTGCTGTCCGGGGAAGCCACCCTGCTGTCCAGGGAGGCCACCCTGCTGTCCGGGGAGGCCACCCTGCTGTCCAGGGAGACCACCCTGCTGGCCGCGGAATCCAGGCCCTTGCTGTCCGGGGAAGCCCCCTTGCTGGCCAGGGAACTGGGCACCGGGCAGGTTGTTGAAGCCGGGCTGGCCAGTGCCGACGGGGCCGTTGAAGCCGCCAGTGGGCCTGCCGCTAGAGTACCCCTGCTGCCCGGGGGCGTACACGCCAAGTCCTTGGCCTTGGGGGAACAGACCCTGCTGGCCAGGAAGGCCGCCCTGCGCACCACGGAAGCCCGGGGCACCGCCTTGCTGTCCTGGGAAACCACCCTGTTGGTTCTGGAATCCATTCTGCTGTCCGGGGAAAGCGCCCTGTTGTCCGGGGAAAGCTCCCTGCTGTCCAGGGAAAGCACCTTGACCAGGGGCGTATCCTGCTCCCACACCCTGCTGGCCGGGAAGACCACCCTGCGCGCCGCGGAAGCCTGGAGCGCCACCCTGCTGTCCCGGGAAGCCGCCCTGCTGGCCGGGGAAACCGCCCTGCTGGCCGGGGAAACCGCCCTGCTGGCCGGGGAAACCACCCTGCTGGGGCTGCTGGCTAGGGAAGGCGTTGTTGCCAGCGAAGCCGTTGGGGGTCTGCAGCGTGCGCGCGGGGCCGTTCACTCCTCCCTGCAGTCCGCTGTTCTGGCCGACGCCAGGGACGCCGTAGGTTCTGCCGGGGGCGTTGCCGCCGCCCAGGTTGTTGCCGTTGAAGCCTGGCTGGCCGTTGAATCCTTGCGGGCCGTTGAAGCCTGGCTGGCCGTTGAAGCCCTGCGGGCCGTTGAAGCCTGGCTGACCGTTGAAGCCCTGTTGGCCGTTGAAGCCTGGCTGGCCGTTAAAGCCCTGCTGGCCTTGCTGGCCGTTTCCGGCGAAGCGGTTCTGACCACCGATGTTGTTGGATCCAGGTCCGCCGGGGGCGATGTACGAGTCAGCGGGAGCATTGACGCCACGGTTTAGGCCGCCCTGTGGTCCAAATCCAGGGCCCTGAGGGCCGAGTCCAGCGCCCTGTGGTCCGAATCCGGCACCCTGAGGGCCGAGTCCAGCGCCCTGCGGTCCGAATCCGGCACCCTGCGGACCAAGTCCAGCGCCCTGCGGTCCAAATCCAGGGCCCTGAGGACCGAGCCCAGCACCTTGGGGCCCGGTGAAGCCAGCTGCGTTGAGGCCGCCCTGGGGTCCAAAACTGCCCTGGCCGCCCGGAGCGACGCCGGGGAAGCCGCCTTGGGGTCCTCGGGCTCCAGGAGCGGCCCCGGGTCCACTAGCGCCGCCTGGGCCTCCCGCGGTGGGCGGCAGATAGGAGTTGCTGGGACTACCTGCTCACAACAAGAGACATTACTGAGGCTGCCGCCGTGGCCGGCGAAGACAACATGCACGTCTCAGTCCGTACCTGGCAGTAGCGCCCTCCTGTCCCTGGCGGTGGCGGCGGCGTCCAGCGGCACGGCGAGCACGCACAGGGCTCCCAGCAGCAGCACCTGCGCGTCAAACGGAGAGGGTGAACGACGCGCACCCACCCCGAGTGGCTCGTTGAGGTCCAGTTGGTTCTCTCTCACTCACACTCACTCACTCACTCGCACTCCACCCACCACCACCACCGCACCGCACCACCACATTCACTCACTCACTCGCACTCACACTCACACTCACTCACACACACACACTCACACACACACTTTCACATACCGCACTCCTGGCGGCGCGTCGGGCCATGGCGGCGGTGTGTACGGGGCGCAGGTAATATCCAAGGGGCTGCTGCTGCACTGCACGGTCACTGCAGGTTCACTGAGCACAATCGGCACGAGGGGCTCGAGGCACGAGGAGTGCGCGGCGCGGTCGCTGTGGCACTGCGCTCTCGGACCGGCCAACGTGCAATTTATACGCGGCTTCGACTCCGGGCCGAGGAAGCACGGCCTCAGTGCCGCGGCGCCCTGGCGGTGCCCCCAGGCCCCACAGCCCCGGAGCAGGTGCCCCCGCCACCCCTCCGGAGCACTCCGCGCGGCGCAGCGCGGCGCAGCGCGGCGCCCTGCCGGCCTGCTGAGGTCCCCGGAACGGCGAAGCCCCCTCCTCCAGGACCCCGACGACTCCCACTCTCACCGTCGACGACGACGAACGCGCCTCGCGTGCCGAGCAGAAGGTCCCCGTCAACGACACGACGACGGGGGTTGGGCTGGTCGGGACAAAGAGCTGGGGTGGGATGGGCAGGCTCGAGGCGGGCAGGGCGATCCACGATGGTGAAAAGTCACCGTGCCGCCGGCCCGCCGCAGCCGCATCACTGGCCATGCAGGGGTGCGAGAGGCACGGGCCGACAGCAGCCCTGGCGCCATCGGAAGCGGAAGGACCTTCCCCTTGGGCGCCCTTGGCCGTCATGCAGCGAGTGTGGCCAGGCGGGCGGACAGACAGACAGACAGGATGTACGCGACGCGTCGTGAATGAGTGCAGGCCGGCGCAGGCGTGAGGTGCAGCCCGAATCGATGCTCTACCCATCTCTCTCCCTCGCGTGGCATCTCCGGTCCACAGCGGCGCGGCGGCGCGGCGGCGCGGCGGTCAGAGAGCCGCAAGGAGGTCGTTTCAGCGCCTCGTTCAAGTTTGAAAGCGTCGCGGAGGTCGCGGCGTCGCGACGCGCTGCGCTCTGCATGGCGCTCGTTTGCGAGCCGGCGTCCTGTCCGTCCTGTCCGCCACGGAGGTAGTGGTGAGCGCATCACCCTGGGCCTCAAGGCCAGGCAGCCAGCCCAGGCGAATTCAAAGCAGTTTAATCCTTGTTATAAGATGATAAATTCCGGCGCGGCGCGTCGTTTCTGCCTTTGCGCTGCTTTGCGCGTCCCGGAGCGTCCGCAGTCCGCACCTGCAGCCACGACGACATAATCGCGGCGGGCGCGAGGTCGGCGTGAGGTCGCCCCGCGCCGCCCCGCCAGGCCGCCACCCGCCGCTATCAACAAAGCATTTCTTTTTAATGCGCTCCCCTCCCTCCTTTCCTATTGGGCTGTGTCTGTCTCTGTCGCACTGCCGGGCTGGTCTGGACCCTGGCCGTCCAACGGGGCCTCCACCGCCGCCGTCCTGCTCGGGGTGCTGCACCGGCCTGGGCGCGGCCGCGGGCCGCGGTCTGGGACCGGCGTGGAAGATATAAATCAAATGGTGCCCTTGCCCGTCCCGCCCGCCCGCCCCGCCCCGGCCACCAAAGGCCCCGTCCAGAGCAGCTAGCCCGGGCCGTGCGTTGACACGTCGCTGGAGCCTGGCGGAGCCTGGCCTGCAGCACGCAGCACGCCAGTGGAGTGCACCGCGGCGTCGCGTGCCGTGCCCGAGCACGGCGCCAGCCGCGACGCCAGCGGCCCTGGCTGTCCTGGTCCTGCTTCGACTCCGCTTCGGCTTGGCGTCAAGGCAGTTCGAGGACGAGGGATGAGAGGGAACTTTGTGCCTGGACGGCCTGGGCGGCCTGGACGACGGCCTGGATGGCGTGCCCCGCTGCACGCCGCACGCCCACCCACGCCCGCATTACGTGTACCGGGAGAAAAAACGAAAGGAGGCCCCCAAGGTCAGGCCCAGGCCCGGGCCCAGGCCTCGGCACGCTGCCCGTTAAAGGGCAGATTGATGAATTGTCTCGGGACTCGGGACGAGCAACACCGGGAGTCGAGTCGGCAGTCGAGTCGGCAGTCGAGTCGGCAGTCGAGTCGGCCCACCGACGCAAAGGCCGAGGGACGTCCCCGGAACGTCTCGCGGCCCCGCGCCCCCCGCGCCCCCCGCGCCCCCCGCCCAGTGCCCCGCCACGGCGTACGGTGTAGGGCGCCGAGGCGGTTTCGAACACGCCGCACTTTGGGGCCTTTAGCACGTCGGTGAGTGTGTGTGAGTGGTGTGTGTGTGTGTGTGTGTGTGGGTGGTGCTTCCGGCACACTCGCGCTGTCTTGGCGCCGCGGCGGAGTCCGTCGTAGTCGTTGAAGTCAAAGCCGCGGATGAGGAAGGAGCGCTGGGGCCATGTGCAGCCGTCGGCAGCCGTGCCGTGTGTCGAGAGGCAGCGGTGGCACCGTGAGGTCGTGGCCCTCTTCACCCAACGGCCCCTTCTTGCACTGCCAAAAAATAGGTTGGCCCAACTGCCTCGTGGAGTTAATAGTGACGATGGGAGGCAATCCAGTTCGTAAATGTGTGCTTGCTACTACGTCGCCCGTTTTCGAGTTCTGAAGGCTCCATAATTTTGCGTCGCTCGAAAGCCGAAATCGGATCGAAATTCACCAGGCCGCGAGTCTTGTTAGGACCGGGGCCTTCACCGGAATAAGGTCATGTAGACGACCAGACGACCCACAGTGGAGGCGGTAAAATCACCTCGCCGTCAAACTTTTCCGTGTCTCCGGATTCCGCGACTCTGTCTTTCCCTGCCAGCGCCCATCCACCCCGCCCCGCCCCGCCCCGCCCCGCCCCGCCCCGCCCCACGCCGTCAAGGCCAAGGCCAAGGGCCCCGCGGCCCCGGCGCGGCTTGCCGCTTGCATGACGGGCAGGTCGCGCTGCATGATGCGCGCGGGGCGCGGGCACCGGCCAGCCTGTCGGCGTGCTCGGCGCTCTCGCAGTCGGGCTGCGCACCGATCGTAACTGCAGTGCTGCCGTCTGGAGGAGCCGATCAAGTGCGCGACGGCGGTGCTTCGGCGAGGCCGTCGAGCGGGGCGCCGCTGCAGCACATCGCCGCCACGCCGCCACGCGGCCGACCAGGCGTCCAGGCCCCGCGGACACGGGCCTAGCTGGCGCACCCCTACCTGAACTGCCGGAGGGTGCCGATTTTTGTTTCGATTCCGGCCAGGGTGTCGACACCGGGGCCGAAGGGCGACGCGCGCCGCGCCGCCGTGCCCCGCGGCCGGTTGGGTTGGGCAAGGCGCCACTGCCCCCGCTGCCCCACTGCCACCGTAATGGCGGGGCACTTGGCACTTTCCTCCAAATTGGCCCAAAAGGGCCGCAGGAATAATAACAATGCAAATTGCAAGTCAAAAGCAATGACGCACTTGGCAGCCCGAAACGAGGCCCTTGGCGCCGGCGCCCTGGTCCCTGGTCCCTGGTCCCTGGTCCCGGGCCAGAGGCTGGATGCCCCGCGAGCCAGCGTGCGCGGCGTGCGCGGCGCGGCGCAGGTGCCAAGGAGGGGGGCTAACTGGTGGGCGTCCCCCTCCCCCCTCTCCCTCGCGGCCGCCTGAATGAGCGAAAATGAATGTCTTTGTGCGTGGCTTGCCGAACCTCGCCGTTTTCGTGACGAGCAGCGCGAGCGCGCACTCACTCACACTCACACACACACACACACTCACACACACACACACACACACACACACACACACACACACCACTCACTCACTCACACACTGCCACACAAAAACAGCGCAGCTCAACCGCTATCAGTCATTGGCCGCCTCTTGAAAAGAAGCCCTTCAGTCTGGAAAAGTGTTTCTTTCTGGAGGCAGCGGGACAATGGCCGAGGTCTGTGGAGGCGCATTTTGGCAATGAGCGCGGGGACAGGGGGTGGCTTGCAGTGGCTCGCACCGCCGTGTTGACAGCGCACCGTATCCAAAACGCCGCCACTGTTCAAAACATCATTTTCATCGACGCTTTTTATTGCTGGCAGTGCACCGTCACGTCTGCCGATGGACTGCATAGCAATCTAGAGCGGCGGGAGGGGGTGGGCACGTGTGACGTCACCCATTGTTCACCCATTACTGCAATGCTTCCCTTCAATCAGCCCCCCCCCTTCCCAATCATTTTCCAGGACGCCGTCTGGAGACGCACGATTTTCAGGGAGAAGGCCGCCGAGAAAATGGGAGGGGAGGGGAGGGGAGGGGCGCCGCCGTCCGCCACCGCTGTCCTTTTGCCGGAATGACGAATGACGGAATTGGCGTAGGTCGCTGCAGCGCTCCGAATCCGGCTGCGCGTTCAAAGTTAGAACAAATTCACGGCGTGCCGTGCCGTGCCGACCTCGGACCTCGCGGTGGCGCCTGCCTGCCTCCCACGCCCGGATCCGTCAAGGAGGACAAGCAGGGTCTCCGCGCCGCGGCCGTCGTCGCCATAGCCCAGCCAGAGCGCCTGGCAGGTAGGCAGCACGGGCGCAGCAGTGCGTTGTGGCGGCTCGCAGGCGCTCTGCAGCACTCCGCGGACCGCACGACGCACGACGCACGACGCCGTGCTGTGCTTTCCCATCTGGAGTCTGGAGCCACACGTCCCGGGGGGCAGTCCGGCGGCGCAGTGCCGCTGCAGTCTCTTTACGAAAGTCGCCCCCGCCGGTCTGTCTCTCTCGCACGTAAAGGGACCGCACCGTGAGTGCAAGAGAGACAGCCTGCAGCGTGGTCCGTAAAGCCGAGCACGCCGTAAAGGCGGCGAGTGAGTAGCTCGGCGGTGCGGTCGTCGCCAAGTACCTCAGCGTGGTGCTGCCCGACAGTCACGCCGCGGCCGCGACCCCGCCGCCTCAGAACAGTCCGGTAACGGACAAAGGGGCTTCAGCCTCAGCTCAGAGCCCAGCTAGGGCCCGGCCCGCGGCCCGGCCAGCCTCAAGGCTCCTCGGGGCCTCCCGGTGCACCTTCAACGCCGTGGCAGCTGACGCCGTCCTGGACCTCTTTGGTCCCGACACACACACACACACACACACACACCGCGCGCGCACTTGCGGCTTCCTGGTCACACCGCACCGTGCTCCGCCTGTGCCTATAGTGGTGCCCTCACTTAGACTAGCCAGTGGCGAGGCGACCACAAGTGTAAGCTGCCCGTCTCCTACTCCGTTCGGCGAGATTTCCTGAGGTCAGGTGCGTGCCGGGTTCGAACGGCCGCGCCGAGGCGGCCGAGGCTTTGCCGAGAGGACTCGGGACGGACTTCCCTGTGCGGCACAGTGTGCGCGCTCTGCGGCTCTGCGCGTCGCGACGCCTCGCGACCACAAAGGAGCAGCGAGTGGCGAGGAACGCAGTGGAGGGCCGTCCGCTCCGCCAGTCCGCCGCACAAAATGATGCGATGCCAAGCTCACTTGTCGACTTGTGGCGAGCTTCCTGTTTCCGAGTCGTGGCGGTCACTGACCTTTCCAAGCGTGTACGTCGGACGGTGGGTTTGCCAGAAGACCGGTGGAGGTGGCCAAAACTCTAGACCCGTTTTGAGACGCTTAACAGGACTCGAACCGAACCCCACCAAGAGACTCCTCGTTTGGAGAGCAATCCTTTGTTAGGGTCACACGTTCGGTTATCGAGTCCCATTTAGCGACTCTGGAGCTCAAAACGCGTCCGGGATTTTGACCGCCTCCACCGGTCCTCTGACCCACTGTGTACCGCACGTGAAGCTGGGTTCAACAATAACTACCGATTTCATTGTTATCATGGGTTTATTTAATTTAATTAAGAGAGGGCTTGTTCTCTCATTAGTGACTTTGACATCTCCACATTGTATTGATTGACATAATTTTACTAAGAATGAACTTAATTACAGGTGAAAAAACAAAACAGGTATTTTTACATTATAGCTCTGTGTAATGAGGACTGCACACAGTGCATACAAATGATGATCTCACTATTAATTATTCTACCTGGGAATCTAAGATAGCTTTTGGTTTGGCTCTTGACAGCATGGTGTATTCCTTTGACGTGCAGGCTTGTCAGGAATTTTCGTAATATCAAACTCTACATTATCCAATTTGGCGGTATCTTCAGTGATTCTTGCAGCTATAACAGAAAAACACAGGGAAGGTTATTACACGTTCTGATCACAAAGATCATTGATACACATTTAAAGACGTACCAAATCTGCCAGGCGCCACTTCCACTGTTTGAATTATAGTAGTTCGCATTTCGTGCTCCACAGCATTAGCAAAGTCAATGAGCTGAAAGACAATAAGGGAAAATGGTATAAGCCAGAAATTTCAAAGAAATATGATATACTGAAAGAGGAACTAATTCACGACTGTATTCACCTCTTTTATCGCTCCTTGGTCTGAAACACCACTGTTTTTCCGGAACTCCTCATTAATTTTTTCTCTTGCAGCTGCAAGAAAAAAACAAAGGTTTTTGAACAAGACACTCTAATCATATATCACTGTAGGAAGTGAAGAAAAGACTTGCAACAAAGCAAGAAAATCTTACCGTTGAGAGTGTGATCGTCATCTCTGAATACTTTCCTCCTAGTTTTATGTAGCTTCTTGAATGCTGCCAGTACCTGAAAATTCATAAAACATCCATGAAAAATGATGTTTTAATTTTCATTGAGTTGAAAGCACATCTTAAAATTGCATATTATTATGAAATGAAATTCTAATAATAAAGGGACTCTGAAGGAAGGTTAGGGAGCCCATTGATGTCGCTTTCATGGATGTTTAAATACCCTTAAAAAGCGATGAAAGCTCGTAATTTTTAAGACACGTGTTCAAGAAGAGTCAAAAAAATTTTCACGACAACCCCTAACGAAAATTACCTCACTTCTCAACAATTTTGAAGCCATTTCTTGGTCTGACCAAAGCCCAACGGCCGTCAGTCGGCTGCTGAAAACAACAATAAGAAAACAGCGAACAAGAACAACAAACTGCGATCAGCTGTATGACAACATGAAAATAAAGGATAAAAAACGTGTACGTAAATTTGTAGAATTACGATTGATTCAAATCGTCAATCATGTTAACATGAAAGGGTTTTCAATACTGAATTTCATTTTGTGTGTCACTAGATGAAGACACTTCGTTTGAAGTGTCAGAGCTGAAACGTTGGAGTTGTTGGTAGCAGAAAGAAAACTCACTGTCTCACCAGTAGTGGGGGTAGGTAGCTGGGGGTCCGGGTTCGAAGGTACCGTTTATCTCGTACGTGTTTTGATTTTTTGTGATTCACCTTTCATTTGGGGCCCCGTTATCTGGGGACGAACTGGATACAACATATCCGGGTTTCCCCAATCGTGTCCGTGACGTCTCGCTGCACCTCTTATCTCCCATCGTTATCTCTATGAGTTCCGATATGATGCAGTTCTGCGTCGGAAATCGCCGACGATAGTTCTCATTTCATATCGTTGCTCCGGTTGAGCCCTTCGCCGGTCTGCCAAGCAGTTTACTGGTGCCTCAATTTTAATTCCGACTATTGCCTGGGTATCGATTTTGCTGTGTGCATTGAAGAGCGGCTAACCGCCTCACCCGGTTCACTAGGTGCACTAGCCTTCACCATGCCTTCATTGTTCTCTATGCATTCCTATGACTTGTTCTTGTCTCAGGACTGAATGTGTATCTCTTGCCAATACTTTTGCATTTATTATCTGCACTGCAATTTGTAAAGGTTCAATGAAAACAGTGCCTCTGTTTCTAAATGGTACCTTGTGTAGCAACGTTTATCCACTCGCAGCTTTTGTATTGGTTTTCGATGAGATCCAGTTCAGTTCTACTATATCCTATTCTATACCCAGCTTCATACGTTCATTCAGCAAAAATATTTTATTTTGTTTTCAATTATATTTTTAGAATTTTATATTTTTGTTGTTTTGTTATCCCTTTCAGTTGATCATCTTCGGCCATGATACAACAAGTTTATAAAACTCTTCCTGACGATGATCCGATACTTTCCATTTGTGTTGTTGAAGATCCAGTAAAGTGTCCCCCAGGATATTATGTGGTAACAAAACAAATTTGATTTTATGAGACTACTTTCTCTCAGATTGTGCCTGAAATTTACCTTTGTCTTTTATTTTACAAGGTTAATCGGACCCATGACCAAGACTCAGATGCTGATATGTATCGACAGTCTGTGTTATTTGGCAAAAGGAATACAAGATATTTGTGTCTTTCTAAAATACATGGAATTGCAGACCTCGTTGTCGAAGCTGTCTCAATTACTGGTGAAAAAGATCCCCCTCCTGCGAGTTATTGTTTGATTTCTAAGACTAAAGATACTGGTAGGTAGAGCTTGTCAATAAAAGCTGTCATTCTATGGTTCCATTCTTCACATATTCAATAAACACTGTCTTACAGATCAAAAGGCATGGAGAAAGAGTCAACTGTGTTACAAAGTAGCCAAACGATCTTTAGCAGCTTCATGTGTCACAGATATTATTCTTCTTAGTCGCATGAAAAAAGCTCCTGAGGGTTTCCAATTAGGAGGGTATGTTTTGATTTTCCTAATTTTAAAATTCATGTGATTTTATAGAAGAGGAAAAAGTCCATTGAAGTAAAAAAAACTAAAATTTCTTGCATTGCTCTAAATTTTGTTTCAGGGAAATCAATGGTCTCACTTTGTGCTATAAAGTGGGGACCAATACATTTGGAGAGATTATTTCCAGACCAGGGTCCAAGCCTGCAGTGCCTCAGCTGGCTTACAGCCTTCACCCCAAAGGCACACCATCTAACTTAAACTCAAATGCTCCAATTCCTGCACCAAGAAGAGCCCCAGCAGAAAGGCCACCTTCCAACATCAATGGCTCTGGGTATCAAAACGTTGTCCTAGGCAATGATGACTCCCCTCATGAGTATGAAAAGCTAGTTATTGCCCCACTATCGCCAAAAAGACCTGCCCCTCATCCACCTCTTCCATCACGACCAGCTCCAAAACTGCCAACAGCCATGTCTACCTATTCCACCCTTGGAACTTACCAAGGTATGGACTTCTGACATGATTATTTTTATTATTTTGTGTCTGCTGTCTACATGTTAAGTTATGCTTGGTTTTCTATTTCAGGTTTGGAGGGCATTCCGTTTATTCTGCACAAGAATCTTCAGTTTAACTCCTCAACCCCAGTAAGTTTCAGGAAGTGTATTCCCCATTCTGCTCTTTTAAGAGGGTACCTAGTACTAATTATAATTGCCATTTCAGATTAATGTGCCTTCCTTGAAATTCAAAACAGCTTATGAAATTGAGATAGAGGTATATTTTATTTTCATCTAATACAAATTTCTTGGTTAAATACCTTTGTACTGTAGTCCTCTTATATTATTCTCTTTGCTCTAGTTTAACTATGATTTCCGAGCTGAGCGTCAAACATAGCTGGTTCCGTGACATTTCCCCCAACAACAGCTCTGCCCATCAAGATTTTCATCAACGAATAGTGAGTTTGATTATGACAAATCATATGAATATATTAGCCATGTATAATATGTGCTGAGCTTCACCCGTATTCAGTACGTTTATAACAATACTAGGTATATATTGTAGAAGTGTAAATGAAATGGAAACCAAATGAAATATGTAAATGGTTTCCAGCAATAGAAATCTCATTTAATGATGTGAGGACTAGTTGCAATTAATTGTGATGTAAGAGAAATCCAAGCAATTTCTTTTTTTTTCTGAACTGTGATTGATGTTTTGTCATATTATATCTTGAAGTATTTTGAAGGCAACGCCACTCTTTTTATAGAATCAATTTAGTGCCTCATAATTTCATTAGATTAAAGGTACCAGTTAAACCTTGGGTATTTTCATTCCCTTAAATTATAGTGTTGTTTTTGATTTTTTTCTTTTTCATTTTTTTATAAAATAGCAGTTCTTTATTACTAGGATGTAAGAAGCATTTTAGTTCCCTATCCTTCCATCATACCCTGCCAAAATAGAACTAGAAATTAGGTTGACATTCACATTGCAACTTTATCACCCAGCAGAACAAGATTACATGTAGACTCATTTGTTTTTGATCAGTTTGCCTTAATATATGAGAAGCTTTAATCATGTCATGCTGATTTGCCACCCATCTGTAAGTGTATTTTGGACTTTCCCTTAGTCTTGTGTTCTGAGATAATGTCGTAACAGGGTGGTATAGTGAAATTGAGCTGTGAAACATGACAAAGTTAAGAGCTTCCTAGGGAAAACTACAATGGTTTTCATCTTACATGTTTGTATCAAACACTTTTTTTTTTTCATTTTACTTAATGTTGAAGTTTTAGAAATAACTGCAGCCTTTTTATCACACATTATTATTATCATTATTGAACTTAACTTGCAGGATGTGCATTGATATGCATGTTACATTCTAATATGATGCTCATTACCTTAATTAAGCATTGTTGCACCCAGAGACTGCAGGATAACTTTGAAGGTGGAAACTTCTCTCATGAACTAAATGCAAATGTGCCTGTGAATATCCCCTGTTATAATTATGTCAAATTTTATGCAAAGTTTTGTAAGTTAATTTGATAATTTTAAGTCCAAAGAGGTGCAAGTAGTTTCTGTATCAATTTTCAGTTTTTGTTACCTGTGTGTGCCATGAAACTCTTTCAGTTAATATGCACATCTCTTCCACTTCTCTTTAGTAGGCATTAATTTTAGGTTTGTGAAATCACAAGTCACGTACTTCACACGTACTTCATTTTATGAACCACGCATATCAAATAGTCGATGCAACAGCCATTTGAAAGACACGTAATTAATAAGATAAAATATTACTGACTTCAGTGCGAAAGGGAGCACTGTGACTGCCGTGTTATGATTTTTTAAACTACATCACTGAGGACGATTTTGATTTAATTTACGCCATTTTTAGTGGTTTTGTGAAACGAAATGTGCCGACCATGAACAAAGTATTACTAATTGACCTGTGTAAATTACTGTACTGATGATTCTATTAAACCGTGTGCCCGTGTGTTACTGTACTGCTTGTCTGTTAGTAAACAGAAATAAACTTCCCTGTTTGTGTTTTGTAGATGTCCATGTTGTTTCTTTTCCCCCTCCCTCTGCCTGCTGCCTGTGGCATGCCACCAGTATTCAAAGATTCAGAGATCAAATGAGACTAGCCACACTCACTCACCAAGTCGTCTATCACAAAAGGGCGTTCCTTCGAACGGGAAACTAGCCCATCGCCACCCCGTGCCGGCGGCCGGCAGTCACAGCCAGACAGTGTGGCAGCCAGGGCGTCAGGCGCACTGGCCGTCCCGCAGCTGGCACCACTGCGGCGCCACGGCCTCGGCGCGCACCCCCAGGGCCAGGAGGCGGTCGCGGTGCGCGAGGAAGCGCGCCTCCACCCCCGGGGCAGAGCTCGGCTCGGAGGGGTCGGTCCACAGGCGCTCGGCCAGGGCGGCGGCGCGCGGCCACAGCTTGCCGTCCAGGGTGGTGGCGTCCGTGAGCTCGCCCCACAGCGCCGCCTCGCCGCCCAGCACCGTGCCGGGCGTCCCCGCGGACGACGGCAGGCGCCGGTCCCGCACCGCGCGCCACGGCCGGTACGACGTGCGCCCCCACCAGCCGTGGTCCAGGTACCACGCGTCCTTGGCGGCCAGGATGACGCGGTAGCCGCGGGACAGGAGCTGCTCGGGCAGCGCGTCACCCGCCTCCGTCCACGTCTCGATCACGTATCTGGAAGAAGTTCAAGTCACAGTGTAGCGCGCCCTTCACCGCCACGGCACATCAACTTTCTGCTTTTCTGAAATTGGCGTGGAGCGGTGCTGGGCGAGTACGAACGAAACTCATACCGCGCGTGCGGCCGGGCCCGGCCCCAGCGCCCCCTGGCACTTCTTATTTGGGGCGCGAAACCGGTCTCCCGGGGGCGTTGGATAAGTTGCCTACCCTCCAGGCGCACCGGGCTCCACTCCTCACCTGTCCTTGTCCACGTAGCTGTCGACGTGCGGCGGCCGCGTCAGGTGGGAGCTCCAGAGCACGGCGGTGGTGCCCGCCTTGCCCACGGCGCCCACGGCCTCGTCCAGGGCGGCGAGCGACCCCGCGTGGAACTCGGCCCACAGGTTGAGGAAGTCGGCCTCGCCGCGGCCGCGCCCCGTCGCCGCCAAGTAGTCCGTGACGGGCTGCGACGCGTTCCAGCACGCGAAGAACACCTCGTCGCCGCCGAGGTGCAGCGCCTCGCCGCGCGGCAGCACTCGCACCAGGTCCCTGCAGTCACAAAGCACCGCAGCGGCAAGGCGGCAGCCGGTTTGAAACACGACCGGGCCGGCCGAGTGACGTCCACCGTCGGATACTAAAATATTGAAAATAAACGAGCGGAATGTCTTGGCTCGTGACGTCGACGTCGTTCTGGCCCGACCACGCCAACGCCGACCGCGCCACCGCGCCTCAGGCCACTGACCGGTACACTGCCCGCAGCACGGAGTACACGGCGGGGTTCGCCGGGTTGAGCTGTCCGCAGGGCGGCTGGATGCAGTAGCTGCGCCAGGGCTGCTGGGCGGCGCACAGCACCAGCGGCCCCAGCCCGGCGTCCTCTCCCCACGTCCAGCCCGCCGAGCAGTGCGCGGGCGCGTCGATCTCCAGCAGCACGCGCACGCCGCGGACGCGGGCGTACCTGGCGGCAAGAGCGCGCCGGTGGCGGTCAAGAAGGCGGAGTACCATGGGCACCGCACAGTCGCTTAATGGGACTCGAACCGAACGACTGACCCCACCAATGGATTCCTCGTTCGGAGAGCAATCCATTGGTGGGGTCAAACGCTCGGTTCGAGTCCTGTTTAGCGACTCTGGAGCTCGAGTTTTGGCCGCTGGCGCCGGTCTTCTGGCACGGATGGGCCGTCACCTGAGCAGGCTGGCCACGGCGGCGGGCGTGTACACCTCCTTGGACGAGTAGGCGCCGAGGCGCGCGAGCTGCGGCACGCTGGGCAGCAGCAGGGGGAACGAGTGCGAGTCGGTGGCGTGCCAGTGCAGCACGTTGAGCTTGGAGGCGGCCATGGCGTCCACGGTGCGGAGCAGCGCGGCCAGCGGCAGGAAGTGCCGCGCCGTGTCCAGCAGCAGCCCGCGGTGCGGATAGCGCGGCGAGTCCGCGACGCGAGCGGTCGCCACGGCTAGCAGCATCTGCACAGTGCGTTGCAAACCACCATCAAGTTTCCTGAACGATATTCACAATTGCCGAACTGCCAAACTCACCATTTTGGGCTTCGCGCTGACCGAGGCTGCGGGCATGGTGGTGGCGGTGAAGAGCTGCGCCAGGGTCTGCGCGCCGTGCCGGGCTCCCCAAACCGTGGCCGCCAGCACCTGCGCGCGCACCATGCCTCCTGCACACGCACAAACACGTCATGATTGTTCTTGGGCTGGCCTGGGGCAATCACCAACATATCTACCTTTCGTCGACACCTCCAGGCGGTAGCTCTCATCCGTCTCCCAGTCCAGGTCGTGGTCCGCCCTGGTGGCGTTGATGGTGACGGTGAGGCCGTGGTCGCCCGGCACGCAGCCCGCGTCGCACATGCGCTTGAGGGCCGCGTCCAGGCCGCGCGCCGCCTCCTGCAGCACGGTGCGCGCGCTCACCCCCAGAGGAGGCCCCTGCTTGGCGGGCCGCTCCGCCGGGCTGTTGAACTGGACGCGGATGCGCGCGGGGTCGAGGAGCACGAGCTGGTGGCTGCGGACACGGGGAACGGTGGAAAAACACGAGGCTACACGTCACCGTGACGTCCGAGGCCCTGTTCGTGGTGAGCGGCCCATGCGGCGTCCACGTCCACCCACCCGATGCTGGTGCTGCCCGTGGGCCGGGGCCACAGCGCGCCGTGGGGGCCGCAGTGCAGCCTGCAGGCGGCCTGGCTGGCCTGGTGCAGGGCCTGGTGCAGGGCCGGGGGCACGGGGGCCTCGCCCTGCTGCCGGCCCTCGCGGAGCCCCATCGCCGCGCCGTCCACTCGCAGGCAACGCCCCTCCGCGCACTGCCAGGGCCTGGAACAGGAAACGGAGAAAGGGCGCCTCAGTCCAACAGTCAACGGCCAGCAGAACGCCTGTGGGCGCGCTGTCCCGCGGCACTCCGGTGCACGCCGGGTTGCCTACTCAGCCTCCGCAGGCGCCAAGCGCCTGGAGGGTAGGCAGTCCCGTGACGCTCCGGTGCACGCCGGGTTGCCTACTCAGCCTCCACAGGCGCCAAGCGCCTGGAGGGTAGGCAGTCCCGTGACGCTCCGGTGCTCGCCGGGTTGCCTACTCAGCCTCCGCGGGCGCTCCACCCGGTGTAAGCCGGGACCTCCGCGGCTGATCACGCGGCCACGGCACGTGCCCCGGCCGCGAGTGGCTCTGGAATACAGACATTAATTGACTGATTAATTAATCCAACTAATCCGCTGATTTAGTACGTGGTTGGCAATGGAGCTAGGTTAAACTTTTATATTTTTTCATCTTTTCCGCGGAATTGGCAAAGACCCGCGCGGCCCCACTCACATCGCCTGCGCCTTTCGCCACGAACTGCGGGCAATTAGGCTTGAAAGCAAGGCATAAGGGAGCGGCGGCGGGTCGCGGCCTGCGCCTTGTGGCTATGCATCGCCCGGCGCCCCGCCGAGCCCCGCCGAGCCCCGCCCCATGAGAAAGGCCTTTCCCCCATTCACTGAAAATACCAGCGGCGATTAGGCTCGGCCGGCCGGCAGAACGGCGCGGGTGTGACACGGTCCGGGACCGGCCACGTGGGCCACTGCGCCACTGGAAAAGTCAAGGCTGCAGTGGACGTCGTCACCGCCAGCAGGGCCAGGCCAGCCCGGGCCAGGAGTGCAGAGTGAAGGCACTTGCGGTGGAATGCCTGTCTTCGCTACACATCATCTTCGGGTGATGCCATCTATTCGCTCGAATTGCCGAAAGGCTCCACTGCTTCCCGTTGCCTCTCCCCCGCGATAATTGCGATAGCAACCCGTTTGATCGGCCACCGGCGCCGGGGTATTTTGGGCTTCGTTCGGTCCGGCGGCTATGAAAGGAAACGATCTCGCTCCGCCTGAGTGGCGTGAGGCAAAAGGCAGGCAGACACGCGCGAAGCTGCTCAACAACACTAATGACGGGTAGAAATACACTCGCATTCACACATGGAGGCACTCACGTGTGCTCCCGGACACGCTGCCAGCGGCCAGGCGACGCGGCCGCGCGGCCCGGCCACGCCAGCGGACGCGTGTTGCCCCCCCGGTCGCCCCGGTGCGGCAGCAGGCTCATTCCGAGAGTCGTTTTCGTCGCTCTGCCTCCTTCACACCTTTAGGGAGCACCCCGTGAGTGCGAGCGAGACAGAGCGACGAAAGCGACTCTCGGAATCAGTCTGCAGGCGTCGGGATCGCGAAAGGTTTACCTCCTCGTAAATCGATCCTTACCGCGACAGAAAGTGAGTGGCCGGACATTTGTTGCATATCATCGTGTTGTTGTTGTTTTTGTTTTCTCGAGCCGCTCATTCCCACAGTGTAGTATACAGAGATGGAAGGACTCCGGCGGCCCCGCCCGCTCGGCCGCTCGGCCACATGACGGATGGCGCTCAGCAAGCGTCCCAGGCAGGCCAGCCAGCCCGCCATCCTTTCGTCTCGTTTTTTCCCGCCGTATCAATGAGCCTCGCCCGTCTCGGCGTCCTGGAGTCCCGGCGTCCATGTATCCAGGCGTCTCGGCGTTCCGGCTTCCCGGCGTCCCGGCGTCCGAGGTCCTTGGCGTCGCTTGGCGTGCTCCCGGCGGGGCGGGCAAACTGGCAAACGCGGGCGGAATCACTCGGCGCCGCCAATCATCGGCCACCAGCGACGACGCGCCTGCTTGGTCCTTTAGTGCCGCCGCGTGGCGTCGCGTCGTCGCGGTGTCCGCGGCAGCCTCGCCACCAGCCCGCCGCCGTGGCCCACTGCGATGACGCGGAGGGGACGAGGAAGCCGACCGCGCTGACGGCGGCGTCCGTGAAGGCGGCGGGGAAGCGCGTCGTGACCGCAATCAGCATAAAAACGCGGCCGGCCGTCCACTCCACTGTCCACGCACAAAGGGGTCCGGAGCTCGAACCGCAATCGCCTCAGCATTCCGACCGGACAGACAATGTCGTGCCTGGCGCTTAAGCTTACTCAACGACGCGGCCAAGCGCCACGCACAAACTAGCGCCGTGCAAGCGCCATGCACAAGCTCCAAGCGCCCCTCATCAGAAGAAGAGGGGGCGTTGAAACTGACCTAGGCCAGACTCAAGCAGGAGCTGGACCAACTCAAACCAGCCATCCATTGCAACGAACCTGCGGCGCCGTGAAGGTGCATACCGCCGAGCAAACGGCTCAACTAAACCGCCGCAGAGGCCGAATCGCACGCACGGCACGCGGGGTCACGAAATTGCGGTCGAAGTGTCGGGACTCCCCACAAGGCGACTGCACCGCGCCGCACCGCCGCCGCCTCCAAGTTTGCGGTGAAGGCGTTGCCATTGGGCGGCGCACCGCGGGGCCGCCGCCCGCCACGCCGCCACGCCGCCACGCCCCGCAGGTGGCGAAGGTAACGAATCAGGCTTGCTAATATCATAAACAACAACGTGACGTCCGAGTCCTCGCGCCGTGGCGCCTCAGCGAGCCTCACCCCGCGATCGCCGCGCTGATAAAGGCTATCGGTGGCCGCGGGGCGCGCGGGGCAGAGCGCGCGGGGCAGCCCGCCCGACCTCAAGCTCGGCGTCGGCGAGGCGGCGTGCCCCGGGTAGGAAGCAGGCCCGCACACTCGGCACACTCACCCTGTCGCGCGACCGGCACCGTCGATGGCGGACACGGCGGGGTGCGGCAGCAGCACGCCGACGACCAGGACGGCCACCAGCAGGGCCGACGACGACGGCGTCCTGGCGGTGGAGGCCGCGGCGGAGGCGAGGGGCGCCGGCATGTCTGCAACGCGGCGTCTTCCAGACTGCGGATGGCACACGACACTGGCAGATCGGCAGGCGGGGCGTGGCGGGGCGGGGGGCGGCATCGCTCTGACCTTGGCGAGTGCCTCCAGGACCCCCCGCACGGCGACACGCGGCACTGTGATTGGCTTCCCGAACCCACCGACCGACTTACCCGCGACCAAACAAGAGGCAGTCGTCTGAATTACTCGCTAAACGGGTGCCTTTGGTCGAGTATGGATGTGAATTTTATGTCTGCGGGGTGATTCCACGCCAGACCATCGCACCCCCCGAAATCGACGGTGATGGAATTGGCCAATGTAGGTGTCACCTTGCCCCTTGAGTCGCCCTGCAAATTTTTTTTGCCCAACTCCAAACCGTTCAGATTTTGTCAACTTTGAATGTTGCAATTTTTGTCCACGGGGCATCTGTGGTCAGATAGTGACCAGCCAGGTTTTATTGTCTTCACAAAAGACTACTCTATCCATAAGAAAAATTTCGTTTTAAAGAAAAAGTTGGAAAATATTAAGAAAAATCAGTGAAAATTTCACAAAAATGAATCCATAAAAAAAAATTATGTTTGCGCAGATAATTTCCACCATATGAACTAACCTTTGCAGACTGAGTATTCCCCTTGCTTCATTTTACTCACCTGATGAAGAATTCAATACATTTGCCCATACCACAATACACAAGAAATTCTTAACATTTGAGACAAAAGTTGTCTTGATCACTTTACTTTTCGAATCGTATGCTTGCGATGCGCCAGTCCCAGGTATGAGAAACTTACTGTGCTGCACTACAAACTTCTCATACCTGGGATTGGCGCAAATCTAAACGTTTTGGAGTTGGGCAAAAAAATTTTGCAGGGCGACTCAAACTCAAGGGTCATTGCCTGAGTGGATTGACACCTACATCGGCCAATGCCATCACCGTCGATTTCGGGGGGTGCGATGATCTGGCGGGGAATCACCCTGCGGCAATTGACCTCGTAACCACTCACACGCAGTACAAGCAAAAGAAGAAAACATGTTTACAATGTGTCAGGGCGCGGCATTTTTTAAAAGAGGTCGGGCTGGGACTGGTAGTCGCCGATAATACTGCCCCCAATCTTGCCGACGGTCATACCCGGACTGAAACACCTGTCACGGCTTGCAGGTATAGGTCATCCTTCCAGATCGTCGGGCGAGACCCACGTTTGCCGAACAGCCCAATGGGATTTCAAGGTGCTGCCAGTGTAGAGATACCGGTGGTGACGGGTGGTGACCTCTACATAGGCGTATGACGGACGACCGGCCAAAGACGGGGCGGGGCGGGGCGGGGCAAGGGTCCCCACGCGCAATTCGCCACGTCGAACCGGTTTCTATAAAATCGGGAATAATAATAAATTTGTCCTCGCAGTGGGGCAAGCGAGCAGTGTCTGTGCGTACTTAGACACGTGAGTGGTGTCTGTCCGGTCGGCCGACTGGCCGTACTGACGAGGCGGTGACACATGCTAGGCCGGGGGGCGAGTGCAGAGTGCGGGGAGCTGGCCGTTTGGGCCATGCAGACTGATTCCGAGAATCGTCGCTATGTCTCTCACACCTTGGCGGGACGACCCATGAGTGCGAGAGAGACAGAGGGACGAAAACGACTCTCGGAATCAGTCTGACGGGCCGGATAGGAACCGGTAGAGGCCGGGGGCGGCGGTCGCGGCGACACAAGCGGGGCGACAGGGAGGCAGTGACGTGGAATATGTCCACCGTGACCCTCGGCCTCGGCCGGCGTCGTTTATGGAGCCGCCTTTTAGATCCGCTCCATTCTCGTGTTTATCGTGTCGGCCAATAACGACAATACGCATTGCGTCGCTTGCATCCTATATGGCCTTTCCTACCTCTCCGGCCGGTCGAACGCGTCCGGTCCGGCCGCGCCAGTGCAGTGGCAACCGCTTTTCATCTTTAAATGGATTTCATTTTTTATTCATCATTATATTTTATCATCATGGTTTTCTTGCCGTGGCTGCACTGCTTGCGGAGCCCGCCGAGTCCATCACCCCCATCACCCAGGCTCTCGGCTTGGCTCTCGGGGCGCGGGCGGCCCGCAGTGATGTGGGTGATGTGCGGGGCCAGGCCCTCGCTCGTGCGGAATCATCGTGGAGCGCAAATTAAAAGCATCGAAAACGTGAAATGGCACTGAAAAGAAATGAAATGAAATAAACGCCGAGGCGTGGGGCTGTCGGGCCACGTGCTGGTCTGGCCTGGCCTGGCCTGTCCGGCGAGACGCACCGAGGAGGAGTACGGCCAGCGGACTGATTCCGAAGGTCGTTTTCGTCGCTCTGTCTCTCTCGCACTCATGGGGCGAAGCGTCTGGGTGCGAGAGAGACAGAGCGACGAAAACGACGACTCTCGGAGTCAGTGTGCTGGCCGGCAGGCTGCGGCCGAGCTCCGAGTAACGTCGGTCTAACTGCAGGGCAGGCCGTGCAGACGGGAGGGTGCGAGGCGGAGCGGCGCAGTGCGAGGCGTCTGCTGGGTTCTGCCAACCCCGCGCAGATAGGGCAGTGTGTCGACTGTGCATATTCGCTATTTGCCCAGCCAGAGACAGAACCAGTTTACCTCCCCCCTCCCCTCCCCTCTTTTCCGATTGGCCAACGCGCCAGACACAGAGTTCGGCGCGCGGACTGCGCAGCGCGGCATGGGGCGTAAGGAGAGCTCGCTTACACTAGAATGATGAAAACGCGACAAACGATCCCAGCATCGTCGGGCAGTCGGGAAACAAACAACGAGTGGAAGGCTAGGCGTCGTGAAGGGCCACAAAAAAGTGAAGGGCGTTTTGGCCCGCAAGGACGGCGGCAGGCGGGGCTGAGTGACGCAGCAGCTCCCTGGAGGACGTAATGGCACCGCCGACACGTTGGCTTGGCCGCTGGCGCCGCCGCTGCCGCGTCCGGCCGGGCGATGGCCGAAAACTTTGTCATTGAGCAACTTGCATGGAGAGCCGAGCCGAGCCGCGTGGACGCAGTGACCAGCGGTCCGCTTCCGCGCGGTACTTTCGCCGCACAGTCTGTCTCTCTCGCACGCATGCGTTGTCCCGTAGGGGTGCGAGAGAGACGGAGCGACGAAAGCACTGTTCGGCAGCGCGCTGCAACAAGCGGCGCGACCAATGGAAAGGGCCTCCTCACCGTGATTCGGGAGCATTCCCAGCGGACTGAGTCCGAGAGCCGTTTTCGTCGCTCTGTCTCTCTCGCACTTGTAAGGGACGCCCCATGAGTGCGAGGGAGACAGAGCGCCGAAAACGACTCTCGGACTCAGCCTGCGGAGGGACCCTGCTCGGTGCGGCCTGCCCTCGGCCCTGGCCAGGCCCTGGCCGCGCGGCACGGCGTCTCATAAGCAGCCACTTTCGCCCTCATAACGCCAGCATTTAAAAAGAAGTGACACAAAAAGGAGCCGGTTACGTGGCGCCCCGGATTTTGGGGAGGAAAGAGGACCGCCGAAGGACCACCCGGTGATGGGCAGGACGCGGCGCGGCGGCAAGGGCTCTGCCGAAGGAGGACTTGGCGAAAACGACAACAACAATTTTTTCCCTTTTTTGCTGTTTTTACCCTGTCTCTGTACGCTTTTTCAGTCAAGTAACATAGCACATGCGTGTAAGCCCGTTGTTCTTAAAAATCAAAAGGACCTAACGAACAAACTTTTGGCTGCGGTTATGCCATCCAGGAAGCGTCAGGCCAAAACCAACAAGATTAGTTTGAGCGGCTCGTTGCACGCTACGATCGCGACACTGCAACTGCCGACTGCACGGTGCCGCGGTGCTGCTGGTGCTGCGGAGCCATTGAAGGACAGATGGAGCTTTGGCTCGCCAAGGCAGGCCAATGCGGCCGCTGTGACGGAGGGCCGGAGGGCTCGCGCGCGGCGGGTGCACTGGGCCGGTGCCAGTGCGAGTCCGCGAAGCGCGGAGCACATCACCAACAAGTGCCCTAGCTCGGTGAGGAGCGCACAGTGGGCCAGAAGACCGGTGGAGGCGGTCCAAATCCCGGATACGTTTTGAGATCCAGAGTCGCTGAATCGGTCTCGAACCTAACGCGTGACCCCACCAACGGATTGCTCTCCGAACGAGGAATCCATTGGTGGGGTCACACGCTCGGTTCGAGTCCTGATTGGCGACTCTGGAGCTGAAACGCGTCCAGAGTTTTGGCCGCCTCCACCGGTCTTCCGGCCCACTGTGGGGCGCCTCCCCGCACCGACGACGACGACGCCAATCGCTTTCACGCCATCCCCGCCATCGCCGCCCTGCTCTGCAGGAAGAAACCCAGCAACCCGTCCGTGCGTGATGGGATGGGGTTTTGCTTCTCGCCGCGCCGTGCCACGCCGCGCGCAGCAAACAGCGCGCCACCACCGCCAGCCTCGGCCGGTGCACTCGCAAAAATAAAGGCCGTTTTATTCGGAATGAGAATTGAAATGAAGTGAACGAACGAACGCGAAGGCCGCGTTCGCCACCCCGCACGCACGACACGCGTGCGCGGCCACCGCCCCGCCGCCACCAAGGCGGTCTTCTTGTCGGGGAGCCGCGTGCCGCGCGCCGCGCACCGGGAGGGAGAGTGGCGGTGCCGACCGTGCCGGCGGTGCACTACTGGCGGGGCAGGGCAACCCATCTCGCGCTTCATTAGCGAACGAGCCTGCGAGTCTCGGCGGGAAAAGGCGGCAGTGCGAGTTGAGTTCCGAGCGTCAAACGTCCGACGAACGCGTCGCTTTCGCGGCGACACGGCGACACGTACGTGGTGACAGAGGGTGTGGCGGCCGGGCAAGGCCGTGATTTGCCGGCACGACCACACGCGTGACGCAACGAGGCACGCGGCGCAAAGGGCGCACGCCACGCCAAAGGTTTTCTATTTATTAGAGAGAGATGGAGAGAGAGAATGAGAGCCCACCTGGCGCTGCCGGTCGCAGGGAGTGGGGGGTGAGGCGTGGGAGGTGGTGGTGGTTCGGATTCACGCACAGAAATTTCCGCCGCCGACACCGGAAACCGCGTCGCGTCTGGCTATGCCGTTCAAACGAGCCAACCACTTTGGCAGGTCCTGACAGCAAGCATCAGCCTCTGACGCCGTTGGTGGGCCGAGGCTCGCCGTCGTCACCCCCAGCCTCGCTGCTTTCCAGGTCAATATCGGCCGGCAGCAGCGACAGGTGGGGCAAGGTGGGACACGCCCAGTCCAGAGAGCCTCCAGAGAGTCCTGGGGGTCTAGACTCCCAGCACGAGTGCTTTGGATCATTGACTGGAGGCGCGGCTCGAGGCTCCGCCGACAAGTGAACCAGTCTGCGCGCTGTGCGGCACGGCGTCGCGGCACCGCGCGATGATAGGGCCGCTATGGAAGCGTGCTGGAAAGCGGCATTAAAGCAAAGCAAGCAGCAAGCGGCGACCGGCAAGCGGGGCGAGACGCCAAGGTGGCGCTGCTGGACCGGCCGGCAAGGCGGCAAGGCGGCAAGGCCGTGGCCGACACTGCCAAGGGAAGTCCAGGGAAGTCCCGCTGCTGATTGGCAATCGCGAAGCGCGCACCGGGGCGGCATAGAGCAGACAGAGACGGGGGCTTCCGATCCGACGTTCAGCGACCCCACGCGCGGCAACGCGACGCTTGTTCGCAGCTTTGCGTCACATCTCCCTCCGACGCAGCGAATTCAGCGGGGCGGGGCGGGGCGGGGCGGGGCGGACTGCACGCAGAGCGCGCTGGAGCGTGGCGACGCGGAGCGGACCGACGCGAAGCCCCGCGCCCTGTTCATTGGTAACAGTGTGAGTGAGTGAGTGAGTGAGTGAGTGAGTGAGTGAGTGAGTGTGTGTGTGTGTGTGTGTGTGTGTGTGTGTGTGTGTGTGTGTGTGTGTGTGTGTGTGTGTGTGAGTGTGTGTGTGTGTGTAAGGGGGGCGCCCCCGCGAAAACTATGTCCACGTTCCGGAAAGAAGGGCGGGCGACGCAGCTGCAGAGGGCGTTGGGCCACTGGCGGATCGCCTTACGAGGCGGGAATGCGGTCAAACTCGAGAAAGCCCAACGCAAAAAAAAAAAAAAAACACGAGCGAAAAAGATAGAAAAATGCTTTTGAAAGCAGTCCGCGCCAAGCCGCGTGGCGGTGATGCGAGACGAATGCGTGTGGCGGCACACCCACGCCGTCACACCGCCACTCGCAGTGTGACGCAGTGTGACGCAGTGTGACGCTATGAGGTGAGCTTCCCTGCCTAGCGTCAGGACGCGTCAAGCTCCCGTGGCCCCCGAGGACTCTGCTGGGTCCGCGGCGGTGAGGGGCGGTTCCCGGCGCCCCCGGGGCCCCGTGGCCTGGGCCCCGACGTCGGCCTGGGCCCCGACGCCGCCTCCCCCCTGGCGGCCGTCCGCCGCGCCCCGGCGCCGCCCCACGCCGCGATCCGCGCCGCGCCGAGTGTGGCGGCTGTGGCGGCGTAAAGGCGGCCGCCAGCCGCGGCGCCCCAGTCAGTCGTCGAGTCCGGCTGCACCGCGTCAAACAGCGAACCGCCCTCCCGGAGTGGAGTCGGACAGTGAGTGCCCCGCGCAGCCCTTGGCCGAGCCCCGCAGCCCCGCAGCCCTCCGAGACTCCGAGCCCAGTGTAGCGTCGCGCAGCGCGCCCTCCAGCCCAGCGCGGGACCCTCACTGTCTCCGGGTCGTCCGCGGCCACCCCAAACTCCGCCATGGTGAGTCCATCCACCAAGCCGGGCCCGGTTTTTGGACTTGCAGTGACTGGCGTCCCCGTCGAAAAATAACCGTTCCCGTTTTCCTGGTTTTCAAAAAAAAAAAAAAAAAAAACGCACATTGGAAAGTGAGTGCGGTGGACGTGCGCGGTGCGCGGAGCCTGTACGTTACCGCCAGTCGCTGCGCCTCGCCTCTCACGTGCCGCGGATGCCGTGAAAAATTAATAGGCGTCCACTTCTACTCGGCTTGCCCAGTGGGCTGACCTGGCGGCGATGCAGGCTGCATCCACTCAGCCCCCTTAAGCCCCCGAACTAGAAGGCCTTGGCGGCCGCGCCGCTTCCTCTCGCGTTCGTGGAAAATTGCGCGCCGCGGCCGTCGGCCGTTCGGTGTCGCCTTAATTGATTCGCGGACCGCGCGGGTCCGCGGCCCTCGCCATAAAGCAGGTCTAGTCGGCCGGGCTCGGCGCTCGGCGGGGCTGTCCTGCCCGCGGCGACGACGCGGCACTGCCACGCCACTGCCACGCCACTGCACTGCATGCGAGCCGCAATCGCTCGGCTCATTGGCCGCCTAATAAACAAATAGCCGGTTACAGTTACACGTTCCCCACAACAATCTTCCAGTTTGCGCTAACTGCCCGCGCCAGTCCAGCACCCCGCCGCGCCTTGCTCCCCGCGCCTCGCGCCTCGCGCCCCGCGACCCGATACGACGGCCGCCGTCTGACGTGGCCCCTAACCTCTTGCGTGGCCGACAGGCACCGACAGGCCGATTCCGAGGGGAGGTCCCGCCGGTGTGTCCCTCTCGCACCTTTGCGGGACGCCCCATGAGAGCGAGAAGAGACAGACCTCCCACTCGGAATCAGCCTGCAGTCGCAGCCTGCAGCCGACCGCGGAATATCGGGTGGCATTTCCACGTAGTTAAGTAGCCGGCCGCCGCGCCGGGGCAGAAATAAAGTTGGAGTAGGCCTGGAAACCGACGGGAATCTCGCAAACACTGTAGACGTGAGCGTACTGAGTACACACTTGCAGCACTCGAGTGTGCACCGAGTTCACACCTTCAGTATGCCGGAGTATGTACTGAGTACACAATTTAGTGCAGTGTACTGGGAGGAATGCGACGAGTATAATCATGTTTGAACATGTGTTTATAAGTGGGTTTGTTTCGCAGAAAAGCGAGCGCAAAGTGTAGCACGCCGCGTGTGTGGCGTGCACTTTGCATGCGGGGCGGGGCGGGGCGGGGCGGGGCGGTCGCGGGGTTACCCGACCGGGTCACTCGTTCGCTGGGGGCTTTACGCGAACTCGCTAGTTTAATTGGACGATTAAATGTTGGCAAATTTGAAAAAAGCCCCCCACGGCACGCCGCCGCCCAGGCCGCCCAGGCCGCCCAGGCCGGCCAGCGTGTCCACACCGCCTTACCGTCTTGACGGGCGGGTGCAGCAGTGCAGCGGCCAGCGCAGTGGGCGACGATGGCGGAGATCGCGGCGCGATCGGGCTCCTCGGGCACCGCTGCTGTACACTAGTTCCGAACACCGTCGCTCTGTCTCCCTCGCACCCCTGCGGCCCGCCCTACGAGTGCGAGAGAGACAGAGTGGCGACACCGCTTGTGCTCGGCTTGTGGGGACTGGCCGCGTTTCGGCGCGCGGGAGCCGCAGCCGCGGGGCTGGCGCGCCTCCAAGCGGGCGGTACCGTCACGGGAGCACTGTCTGCGTCGCGCTGGAGAGAGATAGAGATGGAGAGAGAGACAAGCCCATTTTCTGGCATAACTCGCGTGAGCCCGCTCCATGCCCGCGAGGTTTATTTCCTTGACGAAAGCGCAAAGCACCGCACATCGGCCTGATCCCTTCCTGCTCCCGGCCGCTCCCGGCCGCTGCTGCCGCGGCCAGTGCTTTACGGGCGACCCCCTTCTGCTCGGCAAAACAACATAAATATTGCCCCACATGCGATACATGCGGTACATACGCAAACGGCGCCCCTGCCTCCCGCCGCCCACGCGCGCCATTAGGCCAGCGCCCCTGCCGCTCCAGCCGCCCCTGCTCCGTGCTCGCCGTCGTCGCGAACGCGGGGCGACACGCGCCGGGCCCGCCGCCCCGCTCCGAACAACGCCGTCGCCGCTGTCTCCCTCGCACTCGCGGGGCGCTTCGCCTGGACGTGCGAGAGAGACAGGGCGACGAGGAATGGAGCTGCTGTTGGCATGGCCTGTGCCCTCGCCTGGGCCTGACGTGGCCCGCAGGTACACGGTGGCACCGCCGTTTGATGAATCACTCCCGAGCAGGCGGCCTCGGGTTCGAGTCCCTTCAGGGGTGGCCGGCGGGGCGCGGCCAACTTCTCTTCCCTGCGAAGTATTTAGCACTGGAAGGCTGGGCGGTGATTGGACCGGCTCGTGATCTACAAAGGGCGACGTCGAGGACTCGAAAGGCCACGCCCCACCGAGCCAGGCCCGGCCAGGCCAGATTAATTAGTTTGTAAAACTAATCGCGGCGCCACAATGAATGTTGGCCCTACCCTGTCGGAGCGCGGCAGCGCGGCCACATAGAGTACCGCTTTGCCGATCGCATTGCAACACCGGCCGCCCCTCGCCTTACGGCCGAAGCATAGGCCAGCCACTGCAGAAAGAAACATTCAGAAAAGTCGATTGACGGCAGCGGGAAATGAAGTCAAGACGCATTCGCGTTTTTCTTTTTTCCCTCGCTGTCCTCGCCGTCACCACGCAGGCGCTCTACTTGACCGCGGCGGGGGTGTGGCACTGCCGGTGACACCATTGCATGCCCAGTGCATGCATGCCCTGCCCGTGAACTTCGCGCCGCCACGCCGCCAGCTCGGCTGGCCTGCCGGGTGGAGCAGCGGGGCGGGGCGGGGCGGGGCGGGACGCCGGCCGACCGCTGTGCCGCTGTGCCGCCACTACAAACAGACGAACGCCGCCGCAGCCACCAGTCCACGCAGTCCATTCATCCGCCGCGCCGCCGCCCACGGGGCCTGCGCGGTGGCGGCGCCTGTAACCCCCCTCCCCCCTCCCCGCGCTCATTTCACAGTCAATCGCATGCAGAGGGAATAATCTCATGGCGGCGGGAAGGGAACCCGACGGGGAGCCGGCTAATAGAAATAGAGATTCCCATGTCGGGGAGGAGAGCAGCGACACGTATGAGGCATCATGAGGCACCGGCGGCCGGGCCGTCGGCTTCGGCGTGGCGCCGGTGAGGCAACAGCCGGCCTTTCCCTGCCGCAGCGGCCGCCGCCATTTACAAGCAAATCTTTCTTTCTCACTGTGCTTTCTCGCGTCGCCGCATCGCCGCGTCGCGCCGGCGAAACCAAAAGCCAGAAGTCAGAAGCCAGAGAAGAATGCAAGTTGGCGAGGGTGAGGTGCCGCGGTGCCGCGGTGCTGTGCTGTGCCGGCACTTCCAGTCCTTACCATTGACCTCGCGGACGTGGCGTGCTGAGGCTGGCCTGCTGAGCCTGGCCGCCGAAGCGCTGACGCCGCTCCAGCTGGCCACTGCTCTGCAGCGCGAGGCGGGGCGAGGCGGGGTCTTTCGATGTGCACGGGCAAAACGCGGACTGGCGTTACCGTTTCGTCCCTGACGGGGACGCCTGGCACTGCCGGTGCAGTGGTGTTCGAAGTCGAAACCCCAGAACCCGGTTCACCTCCGCGCGCGCACCGCGTGTGCTGCAATGCAAGCACGCCACCTGAAGCGGAGCGCGCGCGTTTCCTAGAAGCTCGCGTGCTGCTGGACGTCTCGATCGAAGCTGCGATGGAGCCGGAGCACGCCGGAGCACGCCGACGAGGCGACGACTCGGCAGGCCTTGGCGGCGCACTTTGGGCATGACGGCGTGCAGGCCTCCGCATTGTCACCTGCGGCCCATCTGCGCCACCTGCAAGCACGCCGAGGAGTACGTGACCGGCGGCCGCGAATGTAGACCGGCTCCTTTTCCCCCCGTCAGCGTTCGCCTGCCGACGCCGGCCGACGCGGTGGAAATCGGTGCCGGACGACGCGGTGCTGGCCGTGCTGACGGTGGCCCGGTGTACGCACGCAAAGGTGCGTGGGCGCGCCGCCGCGAACCGGTAGCGCGCAGGAAACGCCGAGTAAAGGTCTAGAAACGCATCGGCGCGCGCGCTGTCCGTCGTCGAAAACGTCGTGTCGCGGGGCGGCCCCGGGCGTCCCACAGTGGGCCAGAAGGCCGGTGGAGGCGGCCAAAATTTTATAGGCGATTTGGGCTCCAGAGTCACTGCATGGGACTCTCACCGAACGTGTGACCACACCAATCGAACCAGGAATCTATTGGTGGTGGGGTCACACGTTCGGTTTCGAGTTGCGTTTAGCCACTCCGGAGCTCAAAACGCGTCTAGAGTTTTGGCCGCCTCCCGGTCTTCTGGCCCACTGTTCGTCCCGACCGGGAAGCCGGTTGCCGCCATCGCGCGGCGTACCGCGGCGCACCGAGCTCCCCGATGACGGCCGGCGTCTCGCGCCCGCGCTCTCAGCGCCCGGGCCGCGCCGATTGTGTTTCCCATGGACGAACTGCGCTTTCATCGATAAAAGTCGATGGTCTTCGACAGCCGGCGCGCGTGCGGAGCGCGGAGCGGGGCGCCAGAGCAGTGCGCAGTCACTGCCCCTCCCCCCCGCCCCGCCCCGCGGGCCCTGTAGGTCCTGTAGGTCAGTGCCGCCACGACTCGGCGCGACTCGGCGCGGCGGACGCCGGCACAGCCGGGGCGGACGGGACATGCGCAGCGCGGCCACTCCGAACGGCCGTCGTCGCCCTGCCTCTCTCGCACTGACGGGCCGTGCCGCATGGGCGCGAGAGAGACCGCGCCACGAAACGACCCTTCGGAGTGGCTCGGCAGATCACACGGCTGATTAATGAACGTAGCACTCCATGGACAGCGCGCAGCCCACGGACAAATTGCCAGGCCTAGGCTTTGATAAGGAGTGCGGCCTCGGCAAGGCCGGGCCGCGGGCCGCAGCGTGCAGCACCGTCTCGTTGTGTGGCCATTGTCCAATGGCGGCATGGCCAGGCAT